AGCCCTTAGTGATGAGACCTGTAAGACATTATGGGAAAACCTCAGTTGCAACAACGAAATTGAAACCCAGCAGGCGTTCAGTACAGCAACAAATCAGATCAGACCCCGTCTGATAGATAATATCTTAGAAATGCTCAATATTAGATATAAATGCTTCAACTTACCGTTCACTTCCATGGAGAAACAACGGTTGTAGAAGGCAGAACAAGTTTTGATCCGTGTGCAGGATTCAGGGTTGGTGGTTTCACATGTGAAGCACCTTAATCTAGATGCTGTACAGAAATACAGAATACTGTCACTAATGGTTTAGGATACTCTAAATCTAAGGATCATTGATTTTCAGAATTTTCAATAACAACAAAAATGAGACATTATGATACCAGTGGTTGTGGTTGTGGTTGTGGTTGTGGGTATGAGTGAGTGTGTGCGTGTTGGTATGGCACTGTTACACAAGTCCCCTTCACAGCAATCCATGGGGTTTACACATAGAGCACTGTGTATGCAGGCCTTAGTGATGAGACCTGTAAGACATGATGGAAAAACCTCAGTTTCAACAATAAAAAACCCCAGCAGGCGTTCAGTACAGCAACAAATCAGATCAGACCCCGTCTGATAGATAATATTTTTGAAATGCTCCATATTAGATATAAATGCTTCAACTTACCATTCACTTCGAGGGAGAAACAACGGTTGGAGATGGCAGGACAAGTTGAGATCCGTGTGCAGGATTCAGGGTCGGTGGTTACACATGTGAAGCACCTTAATCTAGATGCTGTACAGAAATACAGAATACTGTTACTAATGGTTTAGGATACTCCAAATCTAAGGATCATTGGTTTTCAGAATTTTTAATAACAACAAAAAAGAGAAATCATGATACCAGTGGTTGTGGTTGTGGTTGTGGTTGTGGGTATGAGTGAGGGTATGTGTATGGGTATGGGTATGGCACTGTTACACAAGTCCCCTTCACAGCAATCCATGGGGTTTACACATAGAGCACTGTGTTTGCAGCCCTTAGTGATGAGACCTGTAAGACATTATGGGAAAACCTCAGTTGCAACAACGAGAAGAAACCCAGCAGGCGTTCAGTACAGCAACAAATCAGCTCAGACCCCGTCTGATAGATAATATCTTAGAAATGCTCCATATTAGATATAAATGCTTCAACTTACCGTTCACTTCCATGGAGAAACAACGGTTGTAGAAGGCAGAACAAGTTGAGATCTGTGTGCAGGATTCAGGGTCGGTGGTTTCACATGTGAAGCACCTTAATCCAGATGCTGTACAGAAATACAGAATACTGTCACTAATGGTTTAGGATACTCTAAATCTAAGGATCATTGATTTTCAGAATTTTCACCAAATAAAAACCAGACCAGTGATTGTGGTTGTGGTTATGAGTGTGGGTGTGAGTGTGAGTGTGGTTGCGGGTTCGGGACTGTTACACAAGTCCCCTTCACAGCAAGAGTTGGGGATTGAACATAGAAAACTGTTTTTGCAGCACTTAGTGGTGAGACCTGTAAGACATGATGGAAAAACCTCACTTTCACCAACAACAAAAACCACCCGGTATTCAATACAGCAACATATCAGCCTAGACCCATTCTGAAAGATAATATCTAAGAAATGGTCAGCGTCAGTAGATGTAAAAACTTTTGGTGTGGAAGAGCAACTTACCGGCAAATTTGATGGAGAAACAACGGTTTTAAATACTCCTAATCTAAGGCTCGTTGTTTTTCAGATTTTTCACCATAAAAAAAAAAAGAAAAAAAAAGAAAACACTGAGTTAAAAACAGAAATAGACAATAAAAGAAATATACACTGGGTGGAACTGGAGGCAGCTGGCCACTGTCTCCAGGTTATACAAGACCCACCTCACCTGGTAATCCCAAGCCTCCCTCTCCCCTGGCACCACGCTGTTACATTCAAGGTTTTTATTTTCAGTATAGTTTATTTTATACTCTCTTAGTTAGCCTGCCTGAATCAGTTTCTCTGTTGGCCTCATTTGTTAGATTCAAATTTTTTACAGCACAATCAATTAAATAAAACTCTCTAATCCCTCAGATATTTGCTGTGGCCTTAGAGCCACAACAATTTTATGTTAAAATGCTCAATTAAAGCACAAATAATATAATAAACAGATTCTTACCTGTGGACAGAGTCATAACCAGAATGGTCAGAACTACATAAAGTTTCATAGTGAACAGAGAGAAAAATGTTGATCAACCCTGTGAGAGGAAGCGACCTTTTCCAAAACCGTCCGTATATTGTCAAACTTCTGAGTCTTCTTTGAGAACTTGAACAAGGACTATGTCCTCTAAAAGACTCCTCCCTAGTATGTGAGCCCAGAATTACCTCAATATCCCCTTGGCAACCATATAGATTATTAAAGTGATATGATATGTAAATCATCTATAGCGGCGTTTAAAATCTCTTTTGTTTGACAGGGATCAGGATGTAACTGCAGCAGCAGTGAGTTCCTTTGATAGCTACACCAACCTCTGATATTTCACATTTAACATTTCCTCATTATCCCTTAGACAACCATGCAGATTACTAAAGTGATATAATATGAAAATCAACTTTAGTAGAAGATAAAACCTCTGTTGTGTGACAGGAATCAGGATGTACTGTAAATGTTCCAGCAGTGATTGCCTTTTATGGCTATAGCAACCTCTGACATTTAACTTATTCAAATCTATGCGCTAATGATAAAAAAAATAACTACCGTCGAAATATTGTGACATGCTTATGACATTACCATTTACAGTAGTTCATCTAGTTCATCTCTCCAAGTCTGCCAGAAAGACATTTTTTAGAAATTATTATTAGTCAAATTTCATTCATTCATTTTCTACCACTTATCCTCTAGTAGGGTCGCGGGGGGGCTGGAGCCTATCCCAGCATCCTTTCGGGCGAGAGGCGGGGTACACCCTGGACAGGTCGCCAGTCCATCGCAGGGCACACAGAGACAAACAACCATTCACTCTCACATTCATACCTATGGTCAATTTGGAGTAACCAATCAGCGTAGTCCCCGTTTGCATGTCTTTGGACTGTGGGAGGAAGCCGGAGTACCCGGAGAGAACCCACACAGGCACGGGGAGAACATGCAAACTCCACACAGAAAGAACCTTCTTGCTGTGAGGCGACAGCGCTAACCACTGCCCCACCGTGCCGCCCTTAGTCAAATTTATTTTATAATTAATTCATTGGCAGTGTACAAACAGAATAGTTCCTCTAGTCTGTGTGTGATCTGTGGCAAATAATAGTACAGTATAATATATTTATAGGAACCTTCCTTGAAAATGATTAGAAATGTATGGACCCATACAATAAAGGTACACCAAAACATGTAATTTAATAAAATGCTTGATTTTATTAAATTGATTGAAAGTAAGAGAATAGTTGTCCAATTTGCATGTGTGTATGGACTAAGGAATAAGGAATAGTTTCCTAAAAATGCATAATTATGTAGTTGTCTCACCCTTTAGTCCCTGGGTCAGTATTAACTACAAAATTAACATCTGGCAAATGTTAATTTCATAATGATCCTCAATACTTGAAGTCAAGCAGCTGAAGATAAGTGAAAATGTGCAATTACTACTGGCCCATTTTTTAGAGAACAATGCAAGAGTAGTATGTCACTGTCCATGAAACTGTCTCAGTGTGATCAAGGCTCAAAACTAAATTTTGCCATAATGGAAGTGAGCAGAGGCCTGTCTGTATTATTGGTCCATGTTGCTGGGGGACTATTATTGCTGGCGGATGTGTGGACAATTCATAATTATTTTTTGGAGGGCTTTTTACGCCTCTGTTTCACAGGACAGTGTAGAGAGACAGAAGATACAGGGACAGAGAAGGGGAACGATATGCAGCAAAGAGTCTGGCCGGCTGGACTATTTTCACTGGGACAGGTTTTGAAGTTTGAGAAGTGAGTGAAATGTTGTCGCAAGATAGCTGTGATAAATGTCTCTACGTGATTGTCATAAATGAGCAATGTTGTTCAATGTGTTTATATATTCATATCTATGTGCTATCGTGCATCTAACGTTCACTATGACTGTAATTTTGTATCGAGGTAATTGAGGCTCCTGTTTTATTGTTTTATGAGGGAAATTACTCAGCTTACTTTGAAAACTGGTGTTCCATGGCAGACTAAATGTAATGTTCCTTTGCACGAGGTTTAATTGCTTGAACATGTTTAAAATACACAAAATTTGCAAAGAACAGTCTCTACAGTTAATGTACTTTAACTGTAATGTTAGTCTAAAAAACGAATATGTCTCCATACACGGGTACAACTTTCCATTCATCTGATTGGCTAACATTACCTTAGTGATGTGATTCTAATATTACTGCATATAGCTAGCTTCACAATGACCTGACGTTGGATGGCCGAGTACATTAATATGAAAATATAAACACATTGCACAACACTTCAAATCATGCATTTTTAGAAGTGTTGTTTCACGTAATTCATTTGTCAAAGTTATTAAGTCTCTACTATATATGTAGGTTTTGAAAATTCTGTCTTTGTGCAGCTGTTAATACTTTCTGCATGATAAAGTTAAATCTAATTTTCTATCTACTGTGTTGGGCTGTTGCGGTGTCAGCAGCGAGCTTATACAGCTATGGTAAAACCCCAAAAAGAAAATGTGTCCGGTAGTCACCACCTGCAGTGCTGAAAGTGAATTAAACTGTGTCACATAATACTCAAGAGTGAGTATTTAATAGTATTTAGGGTTGTAATGCTTTCATTTATATGGCTGGCAGTTAGTTTAGTAACATAAAATGCGGAAGAAAGTGAAAGCTTTTGTCAGTGTTGCCCCCCCCCCCCCCTCCCAGCATTTGGCTGTCACTGTTTACATGAGGGCAGGGCTGGAGTTCTTCACAACACACACACACACACACACACACACACACACACTTAATTAACTTATTATCCTGTTTTGTCATTCATCTTTAATTAGGACTAAATAAATAATCATTTTTGCTGAAGGAATTATTGTGGTTTATTGAACAAATATTGATAGGTATTTATTCACAGCTTGTACATATTGGAATTTTCTTTATTCATCTTGAGTTATACAAATTTGGTAAGAAAAAAAGTCAAATCCAGAGTCTCAGAGAAAGAGTGTGATGATGGCTGATGATACCAGCAGGAGGACGACACTGGGACCAGTGGGAATGGCGCTGTTACACAAGTCCCCTTCACAGCAAGAGTTGGGGATTAAACATAGAAAACGTTTTTTGCAGCCCTTAGTGATGAGACCTGTAAGACATGATGGAAAAACCTCACTTTCACCGACAACAAAAAACACCCGGTATTCAATACAGCAACATATCAGCCTAGACCCATTCTGAAAGATAATATCTAAGAAATCATCAGCAAACTTTTGGTGTGGAAGAGACACTTACCGGCAACTTCAATGGAGAAACAACTGTCGGAAGAGCTTGAACAAACTGTGAGCCCGGTGCAGGATAGACGGTTGGTGGTCACACATGTGAAGCATGTTAATCCACATGCTACGCAGAAACACAAAATACTGTCACACATGGTTTTAAATACTCCTAATCTAAGGCTTGTTGTTTTTCAGATTTTTCACCATTAAAAAAAAGAAGGAAAAAAAAAGAGAAAACACTGATTTAAAAACAGAACTTTTATATCACATCTAAAAGAAATATACACTGGGTGGAACTGGAGGCAGCTGGCCACTGTCTCCAGGTTATATAAGACCCACCTCACCTGGTAATCCCAAGCCTCCCTCTCCCCTGGCACCACGCTGTTAGATTCAAGGTTTTTATTTTCAGTATAGTTTATTTTATACTCTCTTAGTTAGCCTGCCTGAATCAGTTTCTCTGTTGGCCTCATTTGTTAGATTCAATTTTTTTTTACAGCACAATCAATTAAATAAAACTCTCTAATCCCTCAGATATTTGCTGTGGCCTTAGAGCCACAACAATTTTATGTTAAAATGCTCAATTAAAGCACAAATAATATAATAAACAGATTCTTACCTGTGGACAGAGTCATAACCAGAATGGTCAGAACTACATAAAGTTTCATAGTGAACAGAGAGAAAAATGTTGATCAACCCTGTGAGAGGAAGCGACCTTTTCCAAAACCGTCCGTATATTGTCAAACTTCTTAGGCATCTGAGAACTTGAACAAGGAAGGCTATATGTCCTCTAAAAGACTCCTCCCTTGTACATGTATCCAAAATTACCTCAATATCCCCTTAGCAACCATGTAGATTGTCATAGTGATATGATATGCAAATCATCTTTAGTAGCAGATAGAGTCTCTTTTGTAAGCGCCTTTGATAGCAACATCTGACATTTAACACTGGATGTATTCAAATCTATGTATAAATGATAAAAGATAACTAGCGTGAAAATAGAGACATGTTTATTTTCTTGCCGTATTTCCTCTAGCATCTCTCCAAGTCTGCTAGAAACACATATGAGTGACTGTATTCGAAATCATGCATTTTTAGAAATGTTTCGCCTAATTCATTTGTCGAAGTCTCTACCATATGTGTAGGTTTTGAAAATTCTTTACTTTGATGCCATTTTGTGACCAACTGGAGGTAGTGAGCATGAGATGATAAAGAGGAAGGGTGTCTTTAGTGACTGAGTGATATAATAATATCTCTTTGTGCAGCTGTGAATACATTTTCTGTCTACAGTGTTGTGAGAAGTGTTTGCTTCAAAAATGTCACTTTAAGTCAAAAATTATGCAGAATGAAATTATCCAGTGAATAATGGAGAGGTTTAAAGAAGCTAGAGTAATTTTTGTTAAAAACAAAACAGTGTAATCCTTAAAATGATTTGAAAACATAAAAATCACCCAAACTGGAGTTAGCATGTTTTCACATAAGAGCAGCAACATGCTGCATTTCACATGGATGATTCAATGAATGTGTCTTTTTTAAGTCCCTCAAACAAATTATGTCGCTAATGTCGCATTTAACTGACACAATTCTCATTTTTGAACGACATAGGCTGTAGCTAGATATTTTCTTTTATTAGTATTTTAAATAAATTCACTCACATATGTTTAATTTATTACTTGGCATTGTACAAACAGAACACTTTCTCTAGTTCACCTATAAGTGTCAAATTACATCATATTTTAAGGGAAACTCCCTAGAAATTACAAATTTATGGGTCCATAAAATAAAACTTTAACAATAAATATCAAATATCCAGAGACCCAGCAGAGTGTCGCTTAGATTTGGTCACCATTCAATGTTTAAAATAGATTTCCTTAAAGTAAAAAAAAAGTTGTCAGCTATATATTTGGTCCTCCATTATATCTTGGAGATGTGTAGTAAAGCAAGGATTGGTTAGATCCTGGTGTGTCAGGAAATTTAAATCAGTAGAAGTACATGCGATGTGAGCTATGCATTAAATTATGAGTTGTGTAGCAAGAAACTGCAAAGAGCAGATGCAATTTTTTTTTCCGCTGATGGCTGTGGGTATTTAACAAAAACAAAAAGTTGTTTATACATTTTGAAAGTCTGAGTGTGTGCCTCAGCCAACAAACCATGAACATTTCCTGCTATGTGGTCTACACATGCAGACACACACAAATGAACTTAGAAGGCATAGAAATGATTTCCTGCTGTTTCAGTTTCAGGTTCCTGATACTGTGCCTGCTGGCTGGCTCACTGTCACATTGTCATGCTTATGTGGATCTACTGACAATACAGAGGGCAGGGCACTTTTGCCTCTGTAATTTACATGTACTCTACATCCCTTTCACTCTGTCCCTACAATAGCCTGGTGCCCCAAGCATTTCCGCTATTGCCCAGGTACAGCAACACCCTTCTTATGTCTGCTGGAGTGCTTTGCTAATTCTCATTTATTCATTTTTCTAATGTTTGTTCAAATTCTTTTCCCTGTTTTGTCATAATTTTTTCTAATTAGGGCTTCGAAACAAAGCTGTAGCAATAAAGGTTTAATAGTCCGGCAATATTGTGTGTTGTCAGTCTGATGTAGTTGGTGCAGGTTCAGGGGACACTACTAATCCATAGCTTTTAATATTGAAAAATTTTTTATTCTTAAAGTTGTACAAATTCAGTCAGAAAAAGTGCAGCATAGAAATAACATAATATTCTCAGCCGTAGCTGTTCCAGAGCCTCAGAGAAAGAGTGTGATGATGGCTGAGGATACCAGCAGGAGGATGACACTGGGACCAGTTGGCACGGCACTGTTACACAAGTCCCCTTCACAGCAATCCACGGCACCTACACATGCTAGACTGGTTTGGCAGCCCTTGGTAACCATGTTGTAACCTGTGAGCATGATTGCAAAACACAGAAACTAGTTCACAAAACATATCATGTTGTGTGTAACAGTGACTGCGCATTTATTACGAGCAACATTTTGTATGAGATGATTGATTTTGTCATTAGTTCTGATGTGAAAAAAAAAACAAAAAACAACTTACCGTCTATTTTGAGAGAGAAACAACGGTTGAAGATGACAGAACAAGATTTGGTGTCTATGCAGGATTTAGGGTCGGCGACTGTGCATGTGTAGCACCTTAATCCACATACTGTACAGAGACACAGAACACAGCTGTTCAAGGCATGCCACATATTATTAGATTATTACCTAAGTCTCATTTTTGTTTATGTTTTTTTTTTTTTTTTTTACTGATTTTAACAAAGAGTGAGGAAAAGTCAGGAAACTTTCCAGTAAGAGAACGTGGAAGGATAAATTCAGACAAAATGAAAATCGTCTGAATAGACAAGGCAAGGCAAATCTATTTGTATAGCACATTATCATACACAGAGGTCATTCAATGTGCTTAACAGATGATAAAAGAAGCATAAAAATAGAAGTAAAAAGCACAATAAGAAAACAGTATAAAACACAGATTATTAGAATGCAACATTAAAAGATTAAATGACATAAAGGAAGTGGAGAATATATAAAAACGGAAATAAAACTTCCTATCACAATACTGAGTTTAAATGAATAGTTTGGCATACGATCTTCTTATTTTTCTAACTGTAGGCTAATATCAGGCCAGAAACTCCAAAAGAGCCATGAAGTCCACTAGCTCACTCACACATATAACCTCTCCTCCAACCTAAACCACCATATACTTTGCTTGTCCCTACCCTCAGATATGACAGGCATGGCAGGTGTACCATCAATAACAAACATGTGTTTAAGATTGTGGAACAGGTGAGGGTTTGGTTTGGTTTGGTTTGGTTTGGTTTGGTTTGGTTTATGCATAAAAACCACTTGGTTAGGTTTAGGAAAAGAACAGGGATTTGGATTAAAATAAGTACTTCCTTATGGTTAGGCAACTTTCTCAAACCAGCCTCTATAAAAAACACTTTTACACTTTGGTTATTCCAAGGATTAAACAAACAAGATATGATTTGTTACTTATTTTTACCAGTCTCTAAGATAACCAGCTAATAGCTATTTCTTTAACTTTCTGACATCACCTTCTTGTTGTGTTTTACTATCACTTTTAAACATCAACACATTTATTTAAGTTAAAATGTTCCAAAAAAATTCTAGTTAAGCTGTTCTTACCTGTAGAGAGAGTCATAAACAGGATCAGAGCTCTATAAAGCTGCATCATGACTGTTGAGAAATACAGTTTGTTAATCAAGCCTGTGAGACAGAGAACTGGAGAGAAACTTCCTTTTTAGTGCAACTTCTCAGTCTTCTTTCAGACCATGAGCATTAGCATTTCCTCACAAAGCCTCCTCCCAAATGACCTGAATAACGTCGGCCCTAAAGTGACCTCATTATCCTTCAAACAACCATGTATGGTAGATTAACACTTGATGGCACTGAAGACAACTACTTAATGCTGTTAGATAGCCTATGTAAGATCATCTGTGGTAGCAGAAAAAAAAAAAAGTCTTTTGTTTGATATATTTCCACATGTACCCTACACTTTTATTTTTTTACTATAGTGCCTCACATGTTGTCTGACAAATACAGAAAAAACACTTTCACTAACTCCTTGGGCTCTGACGTTACATTCAAATCAACAAGACCAACAACCCCAATCCCAAAATGGCTCCTTTATCATCAGAACAAACAAAGCTCTGAATAAAAATAACAACCAGAAATAGAGTAGACGTGTTGCCATTGTTCCTCTCTCTTTCTGGTTGTTTTTTTGGAATAGAAAAGTTTAAGTGAAATGGAAAGTTTTAACACAAGGTGACCTCACTTGCTGATTCATTCGATTGCCTTTGAGCTGTCTACCAGACATGTCAGCAGCGTAGCATTATTCAGAAAACTCAGCTTTTAATAAAGTGTGACTCAATGGGCTGTAGTTGGTCAAAGCAATGTCCTCTGCATGTAATTTGTCCAGTTCACAGTTCACTGAAGTGTTTTTAAGAATGTACTTATAATAATTAATTGCCCATATACACATTTTGTTTTATGAAACTTTAGAGAGTTTTTAAAATATTTAAAATCATGAGGAAAAAAGAAAATATTGTTGATATTTTAGAAAAACGACGTGTCAATAAAACAATTTTGCATTATAATCACATCACATTTACTATAAAATCAATCTAGGGGTCTTTACATTGAAGATGTAAAGAAAGTTCAGTTGTGTGACCGAAATTTGTCAATTAAGATACAATTTATAAAGAAATTCGTTAGTGTTTCTTTTCTACAAAAAATAGTCAACATCAATATCAGTATTAAGAAAAGCTTCTCTCGTGGAATGATCTTTATTTAAATGCACAATTAATTTCAAATATGCTAATTATGTCATCGTCAGTGTTTCTACGATATTTTGAAATCATGTGATTACAATGAACCTTATACTATTGTGACGGGTTTGTCTGTAAGTCTAGAAATACAGATCTGAGACATACAGCCTATGATCTGAAACTATTGCCGTGTAGTCATGGATGTACTTGCTGCTCACCGTCACGCATCATAACACCGGAAGTTATTTAGTACATTTCAAAATAAAAGCGCATCAGGATGCGGTAACTGGATGAGATGACATGCCAAGAGAAGATGAAAAAAGTGTTGAAAGTCTGCACTTGAGTATGGCTCCCTGACAGTCCAGCCTAAGATAGTTCACATAATAATTAAACTATCACAGTGCATCAGTTTCATGAGAATGTTTTGGAGGCATAGTTTTCATCTGCAGTAGATCAATGCAGCCTCAAATAATAATAAAAAATTCCTCCAGAGCAAGACAAAAAAAGTTTTTCTTACATCAAATCAGACTATGTGTGCAAAAACCAGAGAAAGTTTGTCAGGATCAATAGTTTAATTTTGAAAGATGTAACCGGAAACTTCCTTACGGTCTTGCAATTGACTTGACGCTGGCTGCGTCATTTACGCGTCTGATGATCTCAGCGTATGCGCCGGTATGTTTTGAAAAGCCGGGGAGCTGCAGCTAATGCCCGGTGCTACACCGATGGGCTCCACATGTGCACATATTTCCATACATTTAGTTCTACTGTGAACCTCATGTAAGAGCAAACGAAAAGATGCCGAAGTCTCTGAAGAAGTCCTGTAACGCTCCGATCAGCAGATACTTCGCAAAGCTGAGCAGCAGCAACGCCTCCAACAAACAGTATGGGATTAAGCAGAAGCCTGGTGAGCACCAGCTTTCAAGAGGCAAGGTGAGCTGTGCTTCTTTCAAATAAAACGCACACACACGCACATCCAAACACACGCTGATCACATATGCTTAACCTGCTAATGCTCGTCACTGAACCGCAGCTGATTTTGTCCTGCAGCAGAAACTTTCCTCTGATTCCTCTGAAGAGGTTGGAGTGCCAACAAAACGAGCAAAGCTTTCTCTACAGGATCAGCAGGTGGAGGATTTGGACTGTGAGCCTGCAACCTGCCAGAGCACTAAAGGTCAGTGTGTGCACCTCAAACTGAAAATCCACCCTCCTCAACCCTCACCCAGGTCACCCACACCTCACCATTTCCAAAAGCATCAACTAGCATGTGCAGTGATGTCACGTCCCTCTGTTAAGTTAAAAATGTGAGCATTGTAGTTGCTTAAATTTAAAAATGGTGGAACTTTGACTAATGTAACAAAATATTAGTGTGACAAACTATCGATTAAGTGCAACCTCATGAAGATTGTCTATGAAAAAGAGTAAAATATTTCCATTTGGGAATTTCTTCTACGGGTTTATATTGATGCATGATAATAATCGTGCTTACGGTGTATTTCTTCTCCCTTCAGATACGAAGCTAACATCGGGTCGAGGGTCAGGCGGCCTCTGCTCCTCCACCCTGGAGAGGCTGAAAGGCTTCAACTTGATGCCTGAGCCCAGTATCAGGCACAGTGACACTCAGAGGGTGGAAAAGAAGATAGATGGCGCTAGCAGTGAAATCCGTGACCAAGGAAGCAGCGTTCGGCCTCCCCGGGATGTTCCTGATCAACACAGCAATAAAAACAGACTTCAGCAAGCACAGGGGGAGCATGGGGAGGAGGAGGAGCATGAGGAGGAGGAGGAGGAGGTTAAAGAAATGGACAGTTCAGGGCTGGCTGCTACAAAACAGGTACCCATTATAAATGTTGACATCACATCATTGTCACCAGAGTGTGCTTTGGGCAGCAGGTTGTCCCAGGGATGAAGGTTTAAGCCGTCATGATGGACAGCACCTGCCCTGCTCCAGTGTCCATGAGCAAGGCAGCAGCATAGGAGGGCAAGCAAAAAGTCATTTCCTCATATAGGATCAATTATGTCTTACACACAAGAGTTTGAGTTGTGTGAAGTGAAGAGCAGCACAAACCTATGTAATCGTATGTCAACTAACATCCACTGCACATCCCCAAGTATTATAATAAAGACAACAATAAAACCAGACTGATGAATCAGTCAGGCAAACATATCAGCTGATGTTAACTTTTTGCAGAAACATCATATTGGTGTATGAGTTTGCGTATAATTATCAAGAAGTACTTGTATTGAAACGCCAAAGATATGTTTGAGGTGATTTAAAAGTTGTGTATGCACATGCTGCGGTCACAATTCTATAAACAAGACGAGGCCAAAACCTAGTATATGGCGGGACCACGTATGGTCAATGTGCAAAATTGAGGATGCAGTTGAAAACTTGTGGAACCTGTAAACAACTGACATCATTGTGTCATATTGGCACCCGGCCCAGTGTCAGCTGGTTTCAGCCCTTTATGTCTTTGCTTTTCTCCTACTCTCTGTGCTCACACAGTATTTTAATACAGTCCAATTTCCAATGAAACTGTTTGAAATAACAACTGAAACACGACCCATTAAGACTACATGTTAACTTCCAAGCCATTTCCAAGCTGCTGCTCTGCTGCTGCCAAAATCCTGATTTTATAACCATGACGTCGTTTGACAAAATCACCAAACACATAGATTAAAGACAAAGACTGTGCTGTGATTTCGGCTATATTTACTTGTAAATTGATCACTCAGAGACAAAGTTAGAAGCGACACAATATCTATCTTATTTAGTCTCTCACAGTGCACCTCCTCTGCCTGGGTAACAAACTGCTGCTCTGCTCTCTCTGCCACTCACTGAACAGAGTAGACGTGAGAGAGGGCATTAGATTTGTCGCTAAGTCTCTAAATCTAGTGGCAAATTGGCTAAATTGGCAGCACTGCAGGCTGTCAATGTCCCTCTAATAGAAACTGTTTGTGCCATTTAATTTTGAAAGGGCAACGGCCAGCGGGGAAACTCCAACTCTGGTCATGCAATCCAGTATTTGCTGGGCTAGAGACAACAGTAAATGAAAGATGAAGTGATTGAACCAGTAAAGGGCAATAAACTTAGCATGATGTTGTTTTTTCTCTCACATGAGCAGGAAGTTGAGAACTAAAAGTTTTGATTGGGGAACTGTTGCATTTGTGGCATTTGTCTGGGTAAGCCAATGTTTTTCTGATGACCTATGAATTTTTCCTTTTTTCTTTTTTCTTTTGCAGCAGTTCCTCTTGTCTCAGTTTGCAAAGTCGGCAAGAGGAGGAGGAGGAGGAGGAGGAGGAAAGGGTACAACTGTGAGTCCTCCGTCGGACGCTAGCGCCCCCTCCAGACGCTCAAAAAGCACTTACACTCCCCTGGAACAGCAGGTCATCCAGCTGAAAGAGAAACATGAGGATGCCTTGTTGGCTGTGGAGTGCGGTTACAAGTACAGGTTCTTTGGGGAGGATGCAGAGGTGAGAACTGAGAGGCCTCCTCGTTAATGATGCAAACAGGACATTAACAATATGAATCCAGAATGTATTAAATGTATCACTGTCTAAAAAGACATTTCATAGTGAAATTATGTATCATTGCTGGTTAAAGGATGTTTACAGTCAGTATTAATGCCATTTTAACTGTGCCCTCTCTTTCTGTGAAATCTGTGTGTTTGTGTGTTTTTTTTTTGGTGACTAGCTGCATTTATATTTGTCCTAAATTTTACTTTCTCTATATTTATAAATCTGTGTCATTTTGGATAGGAAACAACATTTTTTAATCTGATTATTATTGACTTGCAAACCAGCACTTTACTCTAAATTAAAAGTTTAATTGCACCATTTTAAGACCAAAAACTCGTTTCAGTGAGCATGTCAAAATTTACTGGAATTTGGAGGGAAACATGTCATTTGGAGAAATTGTCTGAACACTCAGTTTCACCTCAGTTATCCTTTAAGGCAGCACACATGTCATCTTTGTGTGTGTGAACAGATTGCCGCCAAGGAGCTGAACATCTTCTGTCATCTGGATCATAACTTCATGACGTGCAGCATCCCCACACACCGCCTGTTCGTTCATGTCAGACGGTTGGTGTCCCAAGGACACAAGGTATGAAGTATGAATGAAGTAATATATTGTATATTGTTCATGTTTAGAAATTCAAACTGTCAGGAGCCACTTTGTTTCTTATCGCTACCTTATTGTCTTTAATTTCTAGGTTGGTGTGGTTAAGCAGACAGAGACGTCTGCGATCAAGGCCTCAGGAGCCAATAGGAATGCTCTGTTTACTCGTCAGCTCAGTGCTCTGTACACCAAGTCCACCCTGGTGGGAGAGGGTATCCTTGTAGGCTGTGAATATCTGTGTGCATGTGTCCTTATTCTATCTCTGCGTGTCCAAAGCTGTGTCCTTGACCGTTTTTTGAGATGTAAACCCGGTGAGCAGACTGGAGGATGTGGAGGAGGGGGCCCGTTCTGATGTGGCGTTGGACCCTGCCGACAGCTTCCTGCTGTGCATTAGTGAGAACTGGAATAAAGTGAAGACGCAGCTCACTGTAGGGTTGGTGGTGAGTACAAAATCTTAAAAACACCGAGGATGCAACTTGTTGCTCAGGTTGTTCAGTTTTAAGCAGATTAACAGTCTCAACAATCTCATTTGAAAGTTAAAGAAAGATTACATCTCAGCTTGTTTGTCAATACACATCAAGGGATTGTGTTATTATCCTGTGCCTCCTTTGTGTGTTTCAATGTAAATGATTGTTAATTACCGCTTTATTTGAACGTTATATCAGTTCTCTCAGTCTGTCGAGTTGACATTTGACATGAGTTGGCAATCCAATCTGTGGAGAAGGATTGGATGATTTGTGAGCCATGAAAAAATTGTCAGTGGTCATGTTTTGATTGTGCTTAAACCAAATTAACCCTCCCTCCAACATCTGTGGTCCTTTAGAGTCATGTGATGAAGTTCTATTCTTTCGCTTTATTTGTCAGGTATTTATTTCACAGCATCAGCCAAAAACAGACATTCCCATCTGGTCATTTTATCCATAAACTGTTTCCCGATTTAATTTCTATAACATGTAGGACATTGTGATATATAGCAGATTGTATATGCTGAAAAAGAAAACTGCGCCCATATCACCCAGCCCTGACATGGAGAGTAAAGCGATAGTAGAGTTAAGTTAATGTTGGTTACAACTGGGTTGTAAAGAAAAAGACAATTTCTTTGTCTTTGTTTTAGGCAACAATTATTATATTGCACGTTCATGTGAATCCTCAACTTTTCACTATTTTGAAATAGCCTTGACTTTGAAATCTTATCTCCCTCATAGTGACTTAATTTATCTTTTTATGGTGGAGCTACAACAAAGTCAACTTTTGTTTAAAAAAACAGTCTTTATTTTACGATCAGTGTGAAGGAATTATTTCATAACAACGTAACATTACCCCTGAAAGTCAGACCAATGGACCAAGCACCACAGGAAGAAATAGTAAATGCACTCAATGTGCCCATTCATCTTCTGCATGTGTTTGTGTGTGTAGGCTGTCCAGCCCACCACAGGAGACGTGTTACTTGACTGTTTCCCTGATGGTCAGTCTCGCTCTGAGCTGGAGGCTCGTGTCCTAAAGATCAACCCTGTGGAGATCCTGGTGCCCTCTGACCTCTCCGAACAGACCCACAGACTCCTACAGAGCATCGCGAATGCCAGGTAATCTGCCATCAGGACACTAGGGGGCAGTATATACCCATTTACCACATGACAGTATATTCTGAAGTGTTGAAGTGTGTGTGTGTGTGTGTGTGTGCGTGTTTGTGAGTTTAGTCTACTTCATTCTGAGGGATTGTGTTTAGATTTCCCCAGGCAGGCAGACAGTTGTTTAGTCTGGACTTCTCTGGGCTCAGTCTGGATGAGGAAATCAATGCAGGCTCATATTGAGGTTATGTGATAATGGCACTCAGCATCCTGGGTATCACTTCAGGGCTAAACAGGGTCCAACTGGTGCTTATATATTTCAAAAGTTCATAGACTGACTTTCTCCCAAAACTGTTTTTTACAGTACCGTTAGGTGATGTATTAAGTGTTTGTCATTGCTGAAACGTGTAAAGTAGTTATAAATGTTGAAAAAAAGTTCATAAAAGTTGGCTGGTGGCTCTGGAGGCCCCAGTAGGCTTTAATGTTGGTAAATGTATTTGTAAGCCTTTAGAAGTTTTTACTCTGGCGTCAAAGAAATAAACTCCATCGCTGTTTTTCCAAACTGCAGCTGCTGGGAAGTCAGACAGTGCAAACTATAGATACATTCATTCATTTTCTACCGCTTATCCTCTAGTAGGGTCGCGGGGGGGGCGGAGCCTATCCCAGCATCTTTTCGGGCGAGAGGCGGGGTACACCCTGGACAGGTTGCCAGTCCATCGCAGGGCAAACACACAGAGACAGACGACCATTCACACTCACAGTCACACCTACGGTCAATTCAGAGTATCCAATTAGCCTAGTCCCCATTTGCATGTCTTTGGACTGTGGGAGGAAGCCGGAGTACCCGGAGAGAACCCACACAGGCACGGAGAGAACATGCAAACTCCACACAGAAAGATCCCGCGTCCGAGCCGGGACTCGAACCCGGATCCTTCTTGCTGTGAGGCGACAGCTATAGATACATATGGGTATAAAAATGTATGGTAGTTTTACAATGTACATTTACAATTTACAAAATAACAGTATTCAGACTAATATTAGCTCAGCATAAGAACATGAGGTACAACAGCCAAGCTTCAGCCGAGTCTCTGGTGCAGCAGCGGACTTGCACTTGATGCATGCAGGCTGCTGTATGAAGCACAAGATCTAAATCGGCTGTATTCCAGAAACCTGTTGCCTCCCCTCATGCCACCATTTGGCTCATCTCTGCTGACAGTCTGCACCCAGCATGTTCACACCAGTGGGGACGTTCCTCTGGAGGCTTCCTGGGATTGTATTATGCTGTGAAAATGAAATGAGGAAGTGGTAGGGAGCGGATTAGTTTAGAAGGCGATGGTTGGATAAATGGGAGGGAGGTCTGCTGCTTTTGATTCCCTGAGGGTGCACATCGCTCATTGTTCACCTGAGCTTTCATTTTTCCCTCAGTGTAGATTTAATTCTGGAAGTTTTAGTTCATTTGTTTTCATTCCTGCCCCCCCCCCCCGACTGATTATAGTGGAGTTGGGCCTGTAAAGGCCAGTCCAATTATTGTGTTTGAACAGCACTGCTCTCTAGCGTTAGGCTTATCAGAGACAAGACTCTTCTCAGCTTGCATCATACAAATACAGGGCAGCTTTGTCCGTTCAGCTCAGACAGAAAATTTGTCACATTTCTATTCACACATAATACTCAGCTATGCAAGGCCCTTTACACATCACTAAGACATTTTTCTAGGTGATTTTTTTTTTCTCAATTGTGAGTCATCAAACTGAGAAGAATGACACTTAAAATGCATAAATGATTCTGATGTTTTGATGGAAATTAGCTTTGACACTTGTAAATATTACAGTAGTGTAACAGCAACCCATTAAAATATACAAAAGCAAGACCCACCCAGGTGAATGTTTAAAACAGGGGATTTTTGTGCCTGTTGACGTTACCTCGACAGCCTCTGTGTCCCCGGGGTGGGCTGATGAGACGGGCCCCAAGGCAACGGGCTGTATGTGTGTCCATGGAGTGGCAGGTAATGAGTCCCTGAGGTTGGCAGTAGCTAGGTGCAGCGTTCGTTGCTTTACTCATCCAACAGCCTGGAGTCATGAGTCAGGATGAGAGCGGTGACGGGGATCAGGACGACTGAAAAGCTCACTGGCGGATGCTGTCAATACAAATGCTCTTTGTTCGCTTTTCCAAAGATTTTAAGTCGATGACTGACACTCTTGAAAGTGAATATTACATCCTGGGTGTATGGTAAGACAGCAGTCATGTATCAGGATAGATCCCCTTTGTGTGTGTGTGCATGTGTGTGTGCGTGTGTGTGTGCGTGTGCGCGCTTTGTGTTCACCCTGCAGCAATAGAGACTAATCGAGAACCTTAATCTGTTTTGCACATTAACCTCTGATCTCTGGGTCTCAACATCCTGATTTAACCTTTAGTCATCTCTGCTTCTGATTGGTTCGCCATCACAGTGCTGCGAGCATTTGAAGAAAAACAAAATATTAAAGAAAAGAACCTTGTGGTCAAGGAAGTGGTGTGTCACTTCTTAATATGAAGAACAAACCCCTTCACCTCTCGGACTAAACGCAAATTACAATTTAATTAAATTTAATTTCTAGTGCTCATACTGTTAAAAATGGCGTTCAGGGTTAGGTTTCCTCTGTGGCTGAATTGTGCCACATAACTGACCATAACATCCATTAGATGAATTCTAATCACTTTGGTGATGACTTGTGTCTCACACTCAGTTGTGTGGTTTATGACCAAATACCTGCAAAATCATTGCAGAATTCCCATCAGCCTCAGCTGTACTTCGTGTTTACTGCTAATTGGCAAATGCTATCATGCTAACATGCTAAACTAAAGATGATTAACATTGTAAATAATCAGATCTTCTAAACAGCAGGTTAATAGTGTCATTATCTGCATTAAGCGTGTTGTGCATACAGTCATGTGCATGTCTGTCATTTTTCAACAGTGTGAGCACCAAAATAACAACAGATTTCAAATCAAATTAAAGTAATTAAAGTGCAACTAATGGTGGAAACACCCAAACTCAAATTAGTTTCCTGTGGAACCTTAAAGCAGACTGAAACGTCCGAAACCCAGGTTCCTGTTAGGGTTTTGCAGAAATGCTACACTGCTACCCACTGTCCCTGGATCAATATCTGCAACCGTTGATGTTCTTGTAAACCTCATAATATGGTTCAGTTGACTGGTTAAATGATTAATGGTCGTAGCTGCACTGCTGGCACAATATTCAGTTTATTGATCACACTATGTTCCACTTTATTCCCAGTCCGACCAGTGGCTGAAGTGAAAGATGATGTTTCTTCCGTGTGTGTGTGTGAGAGAGAGAGAGTGTGAGTGCATTAGGAAACGGAAGACAGAAAAATGCTTCAGCAGTGTGTCCAGAGCCACGTGCTTGCCTTGGTTGCCCTGGCAACAGCAGAGCGGACAAAGCAACCAAGTCCTTGAAAGCAGCAATGCCTAGAGATTGAATGGAACAATAGGGTGTTACGGTGGAGCAGTGGGGTAATGCAGGGGAGTTTGTGTGTGTGTGTGTGTGTGTGTGTGTCTATTTGAACAAAAGGCTTGCTGGAACATGCTCTGCTGCTGCTGCGTCTAATTCCTCTCACTGAAAGAATCATCTGATCAGATGTTAGACGCTGTGTTTCCTTCTTCAGTCACAAGCATCACTGACCTCTCGAGTCAATGCTCTCATGTTGCTCCCCTCCAGTGCTCAGGCCGATGACCGAGTGAGAGTTGAGAAGAGAGACAGCGCTCAGTTTGAGTTTGCCTCTGCGATGAACACAGTCACCGAATTCTACTGCCACACCCACGAGAAAGGTGCGTTTGTTTGTGCCAATGCATCCCTTATTTCTTTTGAATCTCTTTACATTTACACTCCCTTCAGCTACCCATATACTCTCACAGCCAATCAGATGTAAAACACTGGATGTGTCTGAGGAGTGGGCTTGTGATCACTGGCTGGGTTTTACCTGCGGTGTGTGTGTGTGTGTGTGTGTGTGTGTGTGTGTGTGTGTGTGTGTGTGTGTGTGTGTGTGTGTGTGTGTGTGTGTGTGTGTGTGTGTTTATATGTGTGTTTATATGTGTGTTCGTGTCCTCCAGGCGCTCGCTCTCTGTCGAGTGTAGTGTCCTTGGAGAGCCCAGTGATCTGCTGTCTGGGGCCGCTCATCCAGTACCTCCAAGAATTCAACTTGGAGAGAGTTCTTAGGAGTGAAAGGTACACACAGACCCGCATACACAAACAAACACATGGAGTCAGCAACACAGGCTACAAGCTTCATCATTATCAAGCCTTCCCAGTGGTCAGTGAATTCCTGGGTCTACGTTCAATTTTGAGAGTTAGAGTCCAGTCAGGAATGTGAGGGAATTTACACATGACCCTGAAGAAATATAAAAGACTAATTCACAACAAATTTTACACTTGTATTAGTTTGAAGTGCAGCATTTATCTCTTTCTTTTCCCCCCTTTTAAACCTTTTGAGGTGAATGCTAATATTGTATAATTCATGCAAAGTCATAGTAAAGTTGTGGAATTTTCACCGTCACAATCATCACATTTTAAAACTTCCTCCCTTTTGGCAAATTCACTCTCATGTCTTTAAGTCCTGCACTTTTAAACAATAAAGTAGTGGATCACTGTCTGCTTCATGGCTCATAATAATAAGACTTAGCTTCAGAAGCCATCTGACATTTATAAGAATGATCTCTCTCACCAATTTTCTCTTCCTGAAATTTGAATTAACATTTTCAATGACATTCTCCAACATCACATATGAGTAAGTGTTGTTAGAGATTGTAAGTAGTAAGATGATGAGGTGAAGGTGCAAAAGAAAAGCGTTCTGACAGCGACCTGAACTCTGTGTCTCAGTTTGAAGGGTCAGTTCACCCATTGTTCACCTTCACAGGGATATTCCAGAAAGTATTTTACATCAAATTTCACACTTTGATTGCTTTAAAGTGCAACGTTCTTCCTTTACACCATTTACAACTATTTACAGAGTGAACACCAACATTTTACAAGCCAAAAAGACAATTTTCACAGGATTGGTTTTGAGTTATAGAAAAGTTGTGGAATCACTTTTAAAATCTTTTCCTAAGAAGAAAAATTATGCTATTCACATTATGCACCTGTATTGTAATAATTTTTTGTGCTCCACACAGCTCATTTCTGCATCTGTCCTGCAAGTCGGACGGCATGATCCTGAATGCAGCCACCCTCAGGAACCTGGAAATCCTTAACAATCAGGTAGAAGTACATCTCAGCTGGCTGTTTACACAGCACCATACTGTTTAATCCTCTGGTGTATAAACAGTTTTTAAAAGCCAAGTGTTAAGTCTCATGTCTGTGGAGGGAAGTTACAGGTCTTCGTTAGCAAACATCTGTTGCCACTATGAGATTCACATTTGTAGTTTTAAGTAAAATATTTTAACCACTATTGGTTGGATTGCCGTGACATTTCATACAGACATGTATGTTCCCCCTTAGGATGAATTGCCCTCACCTTTGTGATCCTTCAACATTTCATCTGCTGCCATCATCATGTTAAAATATCACTTTGTCCAGTAGTTTGGTTTCTGACTAAAAACTAATAATATTCCCAACAACCTCAGCAGTGCTTTGCGTTGTGTGCTAATGACAAAATGCTAGCATGCTAACATGCTAAACTAAGATGATGAACATTGTAAACATTATCACCATCTTGGCATTTTCATTGTGAGCATGTTAGCAAACTGATGTCAGCATTTAGCCTGATGCATCCTGATGATCCTCTTTCTGTCTCTATGAACCCCTGGGGGAAATATCTGGTTGTTCGGATGCTAAATGCCCCACTTACCAGCTAGTGCATTACTGTGTCTGTCTGCAGTTTGGTGCTGAGCGGGTAGGATACAGCGGGCTTTAAGAGCTTCTTCGCTGGAACATGACAAAATGAGAATCAATCAAAACATTTAAGTTGCAGGCCAGACAGCTAAACAATGAAACTCATGATAAAGGTCAGTTGAGGGGAGCTGCAGATTTGGGTGATAGTTCTCTGAAGGTTCATCTCTACAAGCAACCCCTTTTATATTGACACATTGCTTTCACATTGTCGTTTGATGCATTATGTTATGTCCCTCGTTCTCATTTTTGTGACTTAAGTTTGACTCGTGTCTGAGCCTCAAATCAACCGCTCTGGTCAGAGCCAAGTCGAGAGAGACAGGTGATGTCGTCATGAAGCTTGAATATGAAATATTTTACATTCCCTTCAGTTCAGAAAGCTCAGGGATTAAACCGGCTGACCTACTTTATTTGCGTTTTCCATTTTGGGGTGTGAACAGCCAGCCCCGGTAGAAATGTCACCAGGTAGACAGACACCTTTCCGCATGATTTTTGTACAACCTGGGGAAATCAGTTAACAGTCGGAGTTGTACACCGGACTGTAAAAATTTTAATGCGTGAGAGAAGTTGAAGGAAAATGTTCAGTGACTAGTCAGACTTGCGTGGGTGACGGCTCAAAAGTTCAGCACGACTCCGCTGCTGTGGCATGTGTGTCGGACGAGTAGACATTCTGCACAGCGCGTACACACACACACACACACACAACGTCACACACACGCATAAACGTCACATTTGGACTTCAAGCCCAATTTGAGCTTCTTACTGCATTTCATTACTAATATCAGAATGCCTTTGTCTACTTATCTTTAAAAAAAAAAACAAAACATAACAACACTGGATTATGTCATTTTGCACATTTAAACTCTCGCCCTCTGCTCTAACTTGTAACACCATGTGGGCATTATATCCGAGCTGCATGTGTGCATTACTGTATGTGTGAGCTGTGTTTGTGTGTGTTCTTTAAATGACAGGCAGATGGTGGTGTGAAGGGCAGTCTGTTGTGGGTGTTGGACCACACTTGCACTCCGTTTGGGAGGAGACTGATGAGGAAGTGGGTGAGCCAGCCCCTCACAGACCCACAGTGAGTACAGGGTCCCCTCTGACCTCTGATGAAGCACGGCTGTCGGTGCTGAACTGTTCTGTCCCTGTTCATGACATTCAGTTTCACAATGCCACAAAATGAATCGGAACACACCCGCATTTTTCCTGCTCTGTGAGACTTGCCCTGAATTAAGCCTCTCAGGCAGCGCTTATACCACTTTCATGTCATATGGTAGAGATGGGAAAGAATCCCATGTTTAGGATGTGCAAGTGTTCATGTTATCAGACAACTAAAGACTGAGGATTAAAATGCCGTGCGCTGATGATATAACATTATATCCATTAAATCTGGGTTCATGTACCTGGAACAACTGACTCTGGCTGACATGAACTCCAAACATTAGCTATTAGATATTCGACATTAACGCACCAGTACTACCAGGCTGTGCACCATCCCTCTACTTGTTATATAGTTAAGGGTTAAGGTTAGAGTTAATGCTGTGTGTGTGTGTGTGCGTGTGTGTGTGTGTGTGCGTGCGTGCGTGTGTGTGTGTGTGTTTCTTTTTTTAAATGCAGTGTTGGAAAAAAAAGAATTTCCTCCTGTGGGACAATAAAGATCTGACCTGAATGGGTTTGGCGCAGGCTGCAGACGGCAGGTGCACACGGCTTGAGGGAAAGCACCTCCAGAGGCCAAACTTAGAGTAAAAAGGCCAGGACCATTTTATATGGCACATATAAGTAAGAATTGTTGGAGAGGATTTAAGAAAGCATCCTTAATGTGAATACTGACTTACTTTTCACTATGCAGAACAGCTGCTCCTATTTTCAAAAACACCACACGCTGAAACCACACAGAAAAAGATGAAACTGACTCACAGCGCTTCTGCTACAGACAACCTCTTAGTTCTAATACTGCAGCATTATTCCAGTTCTCTCCTCTGCAGTGTAATGTTATTATCCATATATTGATTGTGTGTGTGTGTGTGTGTGTGTGTGTGTGTGTGTGTGTGTGTGTGTGTGTGTGGCCCTCCCTCTCTCCCTGTGCAGGGATTATAGCCATGGATCGGGCACTGCTCTCAGATTATACAGATAGCCCCTCTACAGAATTTCAACATCAGTAAAACCCAGATTACACGCAGCCACGTTAATTCTAAGACACACGCTGCAGAAGCACACGACACAGACACTCATGCACATGTGCACGCAAAGACACATGTGCGAGTGCGTTGTCCATTTATTGCATCTCTAAGCTTGTCTTGATCTGCTTTTTCAGTCCATTTTCTCTGGATGTTTATGCCCATTGAATGGTTTTGTGGTCTTTGTCTCTTTTATAGAAGATTTTAATAAGCGGTTATCTGTAATCCAGACAGCAAGACAGCTGTTTTAAAACTTTTTTGAAACAGGTTTTATAAGCTCTCACCTTCAATATTGCTTCTCCATATGGCTCCATTGTAAAATGTACTGTAAAGATTTTTTGACTTAATTAACAGCATCTACCTCTTCTCCACAGAGGATGTGCCAGAGATCCCATACAATAATATTATATTATTAAGAAGCACAAAGTGAAGTAGCTGAACTTTCTATGTCACCTCTTTCATGTGTGTTTGACTTGATGGCTGCTGGCAAACTACAACACATTTCTGGATTTATGATGAAGCTAATCAGTGGCAGTTTGGCAGTTAGTTAGAGAAAAAGTGCCTCTCACTCAAAGCTGATTCAGCCCTCTGAATGACAAATTTCTGTTGCTGATGATGGGGATTGAACATTTTAATTTATTTGACTGTTCACTTTCAGTCTTGCCTTCCTAATTCCTGTTCCTCTTTCTATCCTCCCTTCCTTTTACTCCCATGAACCCACAGATCCATCTCAGAGCGGCTGGATGCCGTGCAGGAGATCTTGGAGTCGGATTCTCTGGCTATAAATTCCACCAGGTCCCTGCTGTCACATCTACCCGACCTGGAGAGAGGCATCTGCAGCATATACCACAAAAAGGTAAGAAGTAACGAAACTGGCAGAGGTCAGAGCATGGCGCATGAGATTGACACCGTCTCCACCAGTGTCCACCAGATTACAAAAGTCTTATACAGGTACAGCAGACCTCCCTCTTCTTGCTGTTTTGCATAAAAATTAAAACCAAGACAATTTTCTCTCTCTCTCTGTTTCTGTCAAACCCCTTTCTCTCCCTCTCTCTCTCCCTCTCCCTCTCTCCATCTCCCTCTCTCTTTTATGGCATGCCTCTTGATTAACAACAGGGAACAGTGGCCTCAGTGGCACTTACCTGATTGTCTGACACAATCTCATTTCCCATCGGACCCATCTTCGAAATGTCAGAAGGCTTCATCCCACATCCCACGTGTGTGTGTGTGTGTGTGTGTGTGTTGTACAGAGATGAGAGAGACACTCTGGTCTGAGCTTGATGTCTTGTTTCACATTCAACTTTCTGACTCCCTCATATATTCTTTAAAAGAAATTTATGAAATGTCACTGAACATGCACGCACGCACACACACACACACACACACACACACACACACATGCACGCACAGAGTCCTTAATTGTCATTTTGCCCATCTGTAGATAAATGGACCTGTGTGTAATGGCCTGTGTCTCTATGGCTCCATTGACATAATGGGAGGGAGGGCACGCTTATGGTCTGCACTCACTGTCTGTTTGGGTTCATAAAAGAGCAACAAGGAGGCTGCTGACATGGAGGACCATTAAAACTGCAGCATGTGATTAATACCATAAACCATTTTCAGTGTGACTCTCATTAACCTTTCATGACTTGGCACTACACTGTGACATCATCAATGTCTATATGAAGTCAATATAATTTACAACATTGCTTCTCTTCAGAGGTGAAATGCAGAACATTGATTAATCATTAAGTTAATTTCATCTTAAATGATCACCAATTTTATTTTTAAAGCCACAGCATTGATCTTAAGGAGACATAAAACTGTAGCTGCTGTATACAGCTGTATTTCCTACATTGTGGATTGTCGTCAGTTACCAAAGGAGCTGAAATTTGCACACAATAAAGTAGATAAATGGCAGCGTTTGCTTATAAGTGAGTCAGAGTTAGAAGAAATCAGTGAGTGGAGTCCTGAATAAACCCAGTGTCTGCATTTCAATGACATGACACAGACAACACATTAAAGCAGCTGTGCTATTTAGTTTTCTTTTGGGTGGGGTGGGGGTGGGGGGGCACTGCGCTGGCTATAATCGATGGTTGCTCTTTAAGCTTGGCTTCCATATCCAGTGCAGATGAGATTTAGTGATCTAATCTCACTGGTGTACACACACAAACACATACACACACTCACACGCAAACACGAAGCAGTGGAGAGCAAATGCGTTTTATGTTAGAGAATAAAGAGTATTTCTTATTTCTCATTCATAAATAAATGTTACAAATGCAGCTTCATACAAGTGAGATGAGCTATGCCAGAAGCACCATGACCTCAAACATGTACGCTTCATTGAACATTATGCATATCTTTGTGTGTGTGTGTGTGTGTGTGTGTGTGTGTGTGTGTGTTTCAGTCCTCCACGCAGCAGTTCTACCTCATTAGTAGCAGTCTTTCACGCCTGGGGCTGGAACTGCAGGCCTTGCTCCCAGCTATCAAGTCTCAGATCAGCTCGACGCTGCTCCATGGCCTCTTGTTGGACACTCCTGATCTGCTGGCTCCAGCACACAACTTTCTCAAGGTGCTCAATGAAAAGGCAGCCAAGTGAGTATCCAGCAGCGTGAGAAGGAGATATCTGGAGAGAAGAGAGGAAAAACTGAGTATTTTGCATGAGATGCGTTGAGAGAAGAAAAGTACAGAGAAAGCTCTTCAGTGCATTGCAATATAAAAACACTTTTGGACTGTGGAGTTAGCATAGAGATATCTCCAGAAAAAGAACAATAGCCATTACAGTATTCATTCCGAAGTCAGGGAAGAATGTTTTGCACACAAAATAGTCCTTACTGCTGCTGTTGAACAAAGCTTTATAGGAGACCGATATGTGACTCAGTTATTTGTCGTTGTTCATTATTGTTCATTACAAAAGAATACGGTCAATCATGTCAATATTATATGGTATTAAGTTGCTTTGTTGTGCACAAGGTCTGTTGGTCAATTTATTGACTAATTCGTTCAGTGGTAACGGAGAGCTTAGAAAGATGCAGTTAGTTGCTGCCACACTGTACCGTGTGATTGTTCTGTATTATCTTTATCTCAGAATTAAGAAAAGGGGAAACTTCCAAGCAGCATTTGCCAAGCCTTGAATGTTATTTTATTTTGCATATTTTTACATGGACATAGATGGGAGAGCCAGCAGATGTTGTATTTGAATATACACATTTGAATACTTTGATTATTGTTTATTGATTATTATACAAATATTTCATATTTCAAATTTATAAATCTCTGTTGATTCAGCCACTGGTGATTCTTCTACGATGGTTTTAATTCGGTTCAGTTGCTAATTTCATTCAGCTTGATTCACTCTGGTGCACAGTGTTAAATCTAGAAATAAGTCTTACAGGGTGACGTGGGAATCAGAAAAACACACCACAGTACCAGAACACTGAGCTCAGGAGTGCAAGATACAGTGCAGGGGATGATGTTGGATGTCTGCTGTCACTCCACATAATGTGTGATCAGCAGTTGGCATAGATTACCAGAGTGAAGGAACTCTGTGACACATGGATGATTTCTTTTCACCCCACTTTTTTACTACTGAGGGATCAGGCTGATCAGCAGGCTCGTGTCTCAGAAAGCGTCTCGTATGTATTTGTGCAGGTCGGGGAATAAGACCGAGCTGTTCTCAGATCTGTCCGGCTTCCCGGTGCTGCAGGAAAGGAGAGAGCAGATCCAGACAGTCCTCAATGAGATTCAAGACCACCGAAAAGAAATCCGACTGACGCTGAAGGCCCCCGCATTTGACTACACGACCGTCTCTGGACAGGAGGTAGCGTCTGTGTGTGTTTGAGGCTGAGAGTGAAAGACAGGTGGGAGGAGATTGATGGCCTGATTTGGGTGAAAGTCTGACTCATGGTGATGATCTGATTTCTATGCATGTGTATGTTTTTGTAACTGTGTGTGTGTGTGTGTGTGTGTCAGTTTTAATCAAAAGTGACACATTAATTTGTCCGTCTGCTCAGGCCTTATTTATGAAAGTCTTCCTCCTTGCTCTTGCTCCTCTGCCCTCAGTTTCTGATTGAGGTGAAGAACTCGCTGTCATCCACTGTACCACCTGATTGGGTCAAAATCAGCAGGTCAGCTCACAGCTGCAGCGCATACACACACACACACACACACACACACACACATTTGTCACCTGGAATGATTTGACAGTGGCAATGACTGTCTAAAATTTGCTCTATGGTTGCTCTGAGTGTTGTCTGAGATGTAGCTGTGTAACTGCAGATCTTTTTCACTCGGCGATGTAATGGAGAGAGTGATATGTTATGCATTGTCTCTAGAGTATTTACATTTACATTTACTCATTTGGCAGACGCTTTTAAGCAACCGACAAGGGAGGGAAACACTAAAGCTACAGTGCAGTAGGAGAGTGGAGAGAAGACAGTGGAGAGACCTTGAAGGAAGCATTAAGTGCTAAATCTGTTCAGTAAGGTAAAGTGCAAGGAGATCAGGTAAAGAAGTGCACAGTAAGTGTGAGCTAGGCACATCAGGGTGTAAGAGGTGTTAGGAGAGGAGGTGCTCTCAGAGAGGATGAGTCTTCTAGAGATTCTTGAAGTTGGAGAAGAACGCCCCTGCTCTGATTTGGTAGCTCGTTCCGCTATCAAGGAACCACAAATGACCGTGCCAGACGACATTCCTTGGAGGAATACAGGAAAAACCTGTATTACTGAGTTTAAGTAGGTGGGTGCACATCCAGAAATCACTGAAGGCAAACGTTCGTGACTTGAATTTGATTCAGGTGACCATGGGTAGCCAGTGGAGGTCAATGAGCAGGAGCTGAGTGACATGTGCTCTTTTAGGCTGTTGTTGTTGATAAGTGTTAATAATAATTTCAATAGATGGCCATAAAAATGCATGTACCTGACTGGGTGGCAGATGTATCTTCAATTTGTATGTGGACGAGACCGTCTGCTGCAGGAGTCCTCGTTCGTCTCGTCTATGAAGACGCTTTATGACTCTTGCTGTATATTTAGGTTTGTTGTCATGCGGCTGAATGGATTTGGGAGTATTCAGACACCTTCCTGATGGTACAGCATGGTGGATAAGAATCTAAACATGCATAATACTGTAAATATATATGTCTGTAACAAGAGCCAACCAAAAACACAGGTAGTTGAATCAAAAGGGTAAAACAAGCCAACTGTGGTGCCACACAAATGATGAAAACGAAGTGTGTTAACCTGCAGGTGACCACAGCAAAATACCTGCTTTCATTTGGTGATGGAACTAATCCAAAATGGTTTAAAGCTGCAATAATCAATACGTTTCATATTAACAATGGATCAAAAGCAATTTAATGTGAAAAGGGAGAAATATCACCTGACTCTAAAGTTCCTTTCAGCTGCATTTCGCTCATTATGGTCCACATCTCACTCTCACGGTTCTTCTTAACCTCATATCCAGATGCAAGCAGGCATTAAACCCGCCGCGCACTTCCTGTCCAACACAAGGAGTTAGACAAATGCAGTGACTAGCTGATGAACACAGTAGAGCATTTAGCAGTTGAAGAGCCAGATATTTCCCTCGGGGGTTGTTGGTAAACAAAAGAGAGCTAAAGGAAAAGTGAATATTGCTAATATTGCCTCATGTCTACTCCATGTGTCGCTCACGAGGCCCAAAATGGGATAATGGTGATATGGTGTGGTAACCAATCGCACCTGAGTTTTGTCAGATATTTGATATTTGGACTTAACAACACTCCAATCAGCTGTTCTCCACCTTCTCCCACTGCAGCACCAAGGCCGTCAGCAGGTATCACTCACCTTTCCTGGTGGAGCGCTACAAGAAGCTGCTGCAGCTCCGGGAGCAGCTGCTGCTGGATTGCCAGAGGGAGTGGATCGGTTTTCTGGAGTATGACACACACACACACACACACACTTGCATCCAAACACACCTGATCATAAACTCAAATGACGAACTGCTCAAAACATGTCAGTCTCTGGTTCAGAGAGATGCCTCCACAGCTCTCAGCCTGCCAGAATTAGTCAGTTTTAGTCAAGTACACTGTCAGCGCCGCTTTGTCAGAACACAGTATGCACTTACCTTAATTTACACTTGAAAATCTCTCTCTCTCTCTCTCTCTCTCTCTCTCTCTCTCTCTCTCTCTCTCTCTCTCTCTCTCTGTAGTCAGTTTGGGGAGCACTATCACACCATGAAAAGGGCTATTAGTCACCTAGCAACCATGGACTGTCTCTTTTCGTTGGCTGAGGTGGCTAAACAAGGGGACTATTGCAGGTGATGTCCTCTCATGATGACCGTAAATATTGGTGTGTGGTCTGTGTGTGTGTGTGCGCGCATATGTGTGTGTGATATTGTGTGTGTGTGTGTGTGTGTGTGTGTGTGTGTGGGTGTCCTGTGTCATGTCCTATAGTCTCAGACAGGCTGTGTGTGGGAGTGTGCACTGTGCTCAGCAGCGGGCTTGGCCAGAACGCCAACATCTCTCCCACACACACACACACACACACACACACCTTTACATGTATTGTCTATTTCTACACATTTTAGTACTTTAGGTTTACTTCTGTGTCTTAGTGCTGCAGGTCCTCTTTTTGTAGTGTGTGGAGATTTATGCCTTTGTCTTTAACTCTTTATCTTCTTTTTTCTTCGATTCATTTAAGGAAAACAGGCATCTACTGGTTGTCTGTGTGTTATTTTAACAGAATATTACTGATGCATCGGCAGGCCTCTTATCACATCTGTGTGAATTTTGCAGATAAAGAAAAAGAAACTGCAGAGCTGCCATGCTAAATGTTTTATTTTAAATGATTTAAATTTGACTTATATTTAGCATCCAAAATGAAGTGTTATATTTACTGTCACTTCCATCTTTGATAGTAGTATATTGTTTATATGAACCGAGATATTTCTTTATCTAAAAATGTTTAATGTGAGATGTTTTTGTTATGACATATAGGTTGATATATTTTTATCCCCATTTATTTATTCATTTTTTTTATTTTCTTCAAGAATTGTTATCATCCATTAAAGTTCAGAATCGGTCAACTCTAACATTTATACCTTACATAAAGGGGAAAGGGAAAACATGGTGCACAATATTATAGTGGGATTCAATTTCAGGGCACCCATTGGCAGTTTAAATGGTAATGGCATTTTTAGACATGTCCTGAATGGATACTGTGTGTGTTTGGTGTGTAGGAATGTGTTTTATTGTACGTGCCAAACTGACTGAGTGTGTTCTCCGTGTTCAGACCAGAGGTGTGTGAAGATCGGCGTCAGATCCTGATCAGGGACGGCAGACACCCTGCCATAGACTTACTGATGGGAGAGCACAATCAGTATGTGCCCAACCACACTGAACTGCAGGTACACACACACACACACACACACACACACACACACACACACACTCACTCACTAACTCATTGAGACAGTTCTGAAACAAAATTGCAACAGCGCGCACAGAGACGTGCTCACGCACACATAATTACACATGATGCCCACACACACACACACGGACGTACGCACACACTTCCTCGCTCGGTGCTGGAGTGGGTGTAGGTTAATCTTGCAACAGAAGCACAAGCCAGTAGGAAGAGGAGCCAAGCTTTCGGTCCACCCACCTCCTCAGCTGTGCGGGACAGCATGCAAATATCTTATTCTGTCTCTCTCTTCGTTCGCCTTCTGTCTATGTCACTGTTATTATTCTCTCCTCTCCTCTCCTCTCTCCTCCCCTCCAGGGTGATGGCAGGAGAACTATGATAATCACTGGTCCTAATATGGGGGGTAAGAGCTCCTACATCCGCCAGGTGGCCCTGATCTGTGTTATGGCTCAGATGGGCTCCTACGTCCCGGCCTCTGAGGCCAGTCTGGGCATACTGGATGGCATTTTCACCAGGTATGAACACAAGCACATGTGTAACTTACCTCTGCATTTGTTACGTGTTTGACAGCCGTGAACAGACTGCAGTAAACAGACGCAGAAATAATGATAAACTGCATTTTCAACTTCAACTTGTGCAACAGTAATTAAATTAAAATGAATGCACAGTGCTTTAAAAATCACATTATAACTCACCTCTAGTGGCATTTAGCCATACAGATACGTTTGGCTTTATTTGTTTTGAGATAATATATCTGTCTCTGAGATTTCTGCCTTGCCTTTAATACAATGGGGATGAATGAAGTTTTGTTTTTGATGTTAAGAGCTTTAAAAAAATGCAACTTTGTTCTGTATAAGAACATCATTTATAGGGAATAACACATTAGGACTTATGACTTAAGTTTCATCCCTTTTGCTGCCACACCAGGTCAAAGATAACAAACAGAACAGAGCCTAAAACAGCAGGAAGATCTCGTCTCATTACGAAATATGCATAAAGTATGTTTTGTGAAACAATGCGCCACAGTTGAACTTTGTAAAGTACCAATATTAACATCATCTAATGACAAAGACACAGCTCAATCTACACACCTAAGAAACATGACTGGGCCCTCACAAGAGGTTAATCTATTCCTTTCATTCACACTTGGATATTCTAAGGAATCAAATAAAAGAAGAAAAAAAAAAATTGGTCATATTCATTAGCATATAGGTAGATAACTTTATTATTATCATTTATTTTGTGTTCAGTGTATTTGTTACTATTATAATCATTATTCTTTTTAATATTATTTCAGGGGGTGGGGGGAAGGTTGGGAGGGAGAAGTGGTGAACATCGGACGGCTTGGATGGGTGGGAGATACGAAAAACAATTTCAAAAAAATTTCGGACCCTTTCACAATCCTAAAAAATACATTTAAAAAAAATTCAACAGTCAAATCTCTGTCCAAAACAGTTTCCACTGGACAATCCACAGAACACGTCGTTTTCAGTGGGACTGCTGAGGAAGTACTCCATATGAAAACTGTCGAGAGCTGCAGGAGTTAACTGGAAAAATATGTTTATTTGTAATTCGGGCGAAATGACACTTATCTAAATATCTGCTTGTGAATTGGCTTCATCAAGCAGAGTGGCTTTAACAGGAACAGGAGATGAATAGAAGCAATCATTCGATCCAGAAAAAATGATCACAGCTCACATTGTAACATTTTTTTTTTGGCACAAAAGCATGTCCATGTTTTCCTGGCAGGCATATTAAAGATGGGACACACATCACAATTACATATATTATATATATTATTATTATTATATTCCTAGTCCGTTGTGTAAACGTGACATAACAGCAGCGTCACTGCAAGCTACAGCCTCTCTTTTTACAGACGCAGGAACTCACTCAAGAAGTGACACCTGAGTGACTTTTTCCAGCCTCGTCTCCGTCGACATGGAAGACGAGGACAGTGACCATGACAACACTGGCGGAGCACAACACACTTTCACCCCTGCAGATTCTGTCTTATTAGTGCAATTAAACATCAGGACACTGGGGGGGGGGGGTTGTCCTCAGGTCATTTTAACAAATGATGCACCAAACACCTCTTTCACCTTGTGTCACCTTCACCGTCTGTGTCATGGTTGAGTTTATTTTTGGGACAGACACTGATCCTTTCTAATCCCATTGTATTCCTCACCACACAGGAGGAGGCGTGTGAGGTTGGGAGGAAAAAAAAAGAAGTTGTGTAAGAGTTGTTTGACAAGGCCAGCGTCATTGTTCTGTTGTGGTTCGGTACGATGTGGCTCTCTGTATCGTAGGATCCCTCAGACAATAAGGCTTTGTGGGAGGAGATCTTTCTTTGCCGCTAATGATTGTTCTTATTATGATGAGAGCAGCAGTAAGCTCCGCATGTAGTTTCCAGCCCTGACTACATATTAGTGTGGAACACAGGCCAATATACTGTATGGTCTGCTATTTTGCCTCTGCTGCACTATGTGATTAGACCTAATGGCTTGCAGATGTGGGTAATTGTCTTTTTTTTGTGGGTTTAAGCATGTTCTTATGTATTAGCCCAGTGGGAGCCAGCCACTTGTCAGCACACCAGAACTGTGTGTGTTTGTGTCCATGTGTGTGCGCGTCTCTCTTTCCTTGAGAGAAACAGTTTGGGGGGGGGTTTGGACTTCATATTAGGGTTATTAGACTGGCCGGCTGGGTAGGGTTGAGTGGACAGGAGTGTACTGCAGATGATATATTTTATCATCCTGTAATCTGAAAACAAACAACAGGAAGATTCAAAGTAAACTATAACTATTTATTATGAATAAAAAGGCTGTAAATAAAAAGATTAAATGCTACTAAAATCTGCAAAACACTGTAGTTTAACATTTTTAACTATATCCAAAGGACATAATTTAGGAGCTCTTTTGTGTTTTTTCTTCACTTTTATCTCAAACATTTTTACCACAAAAACAATTTTTATTTCCTTGTAAACTAAGGTGGTTGATGTCTTCTTCCAGCAGGAAACGACAACTTTTTTAGGAACATGGGGACACAAAATGTGACTGAAAATCTGTTTAGAATGACCTGTTTTTTGGGTGAGTCTTATGACTTTATATTAGCGAGTAGTAGATTTAGTATAGATAGTATAGATTTTACAGGAGATGAGTGGAGAGAGCTGAGGAGTGAAAGGCAACAAAGCTCTGCAGCTGAACTCGAACCGAGGACGTTACAGTTCACGGTCAACACCTACAAACCTCTGTGCCTCAGTTGATCTGTTTTTATGAACATCTTTGAAGATTTGAAGACTTTGAATAAGAGAGTAATTGGTGTCATCTTGAGGTTGGAGTAATAGTGCGGGGTCAGGTTAGAGAATGAGTGTACTTCAGTCAGTGAAGGTCTACATATATAAATCAGTACAGAACTGTGCATGTACGTGTATCACTCTGTTGTTTAATGGGGTCTCTGATCAGGGTTTGAGGTTAATATTATCTATTTCTGCATCTGAGAACTAATTAATGTCCACATTGAAAACGCACACACGGCCACGCTGCATCCGCTGTCCTCTCTTCACCTCCTCTGTTACCTCTGTCGTCCTCTCTGTTTCTAATTGGACTGCTCAGCCTCCGTCTTATCATCGAGTGCAAGGATCCTGAGGAGAAACGGTCTTGATAATAAACGCTCAATCAATTCCCACTGCTGTGTCAAGCATAATAGACGCAGCGGTGGGAATTGCTTCATCTTGTGTGTTTGTGTATATGAGAGATGTGGTGTGTTTACGAGCGAGAGGGAGACAGAGGTGGAGCGAGAGCTTGTGAGTTTTACCAGAGTGGAATAAGCAGACTTTGTGGGTTGGGGGTAATGAGATGGTGCGTAGGTGTTTAATGGGATATCCTGTCTGAACTGATCCAGATGATTGATGATCAATGAGGATACAATGAATAATCTGGTGATTGGTGCTGCCTCACAGAGTCTTGGTTTTATTTTCCTGCCCACTGCACTGTGCTGCAGGGTTTTTATACATATGCCATACAGTTATTTAAGCATAATTGTGTGTGTGTGCATGCATGCATGCGTGTGTGTGTGTGTGTGCGTGTGTGTGCGCGTGTGTGTGTGTGTGTTACGTGGCAGCAGAGGGATGAATATGTGAATTTGCACGTATGCAGCTGCTGTGTGTTTTCTTGTTGGTATTGAGTCCTGAGGGTTATAGAGCACTTCTTCCATCACTTCATGGTTGTTATGGAAACAGCAAAAGGAAGCAGAATGTAAAAGTGTGTTTTGAAAAAGGACCTTTTATCGACCATGGACGCCTAGCAGTGATTATACTGTGTTTTACGTTCACAAAGTATTTCACAAGCTCCTCTCCATCAGAAATTGCTGTGAGATTGTTTTGGTTTTTTTGTTTTTTTTTGTTTTTTTTGTGGGGGGTTGGGTGGGGGGTGAGGGGGGGTGGGGGTCATAAATGTGACTAATATGCAGAAAAACCTCACAAACCACAGTGGGTGTTTTGGTGCCAACAGGTCTCTGTGTAACATCATCACCTAAGTGGGTGTTGTAACATGTTGAGCATGTGGAGAAATGCAGTATCCTAAATCGACTCATTTGTTCCTCTGAGTTTTTATAGTGCTGCAGTGTCGGAGAGCCTGTGCATTCTTGTAGGCGTCATATAGGGCTGTTTGGGCCTTTGGTGTTCTGTAGGACCTGGAGGTTTAAACCCGAATCAGACATGATTCAAAATGGTCACACAGCCCTGAGGAGAACTAAAAATAATTGAAAGATCAGGTGTTAATGTGCTTACATTGATCCTTTGCTTTGGCACTGTATGTACCACATAAAAAGATGTGCGTTGCTTAGCTTTATTCTTTATTTTTAAATCTTGACGTGGATAACAATTAGCTTTACACAAAGTGGTTTCTAGTCTTCTGAAATCCAAATAAAACTATCATAGAAATGACACAGTATCACTAGGCCCATGGATAAACAGATTCCTTTATTGTTGTAATGTAGTAGCAGTCCAGACATTAGAAACAACAATTAAAAACAGAAAAGTGTTCAAACTAAACTCATTTAGAGTGAAAAATATATAAATGAAATAAAGAATATATTTATTTGCTGTAAATTATAAAACTGTAAGACATAAAACAATAGGATACAATATAAAAGCAGCTGATATTTCACATTTGCTGAGTGGTCCTGTGTACAAGTAGTGTAGTTAAGATTGTATACATACAGAACAGCAGTAGGAATGTAAACATCTGTGCAGTGTTCTGTAAATGTGAGTATTGCAGTGCAGATAGTCACAGGGGTCAGTGTCGGTGTTTGGCAGTGTTCAGTTCTCGTATGACTCTGGGGTAGAAGCTGTTCTTTAGTCTGTTTGTCCCTGATATGATGGAGCTGAAGTGTCTACCAGAGGGCGGCAGGTCAAACGGATGATGTTCGGGGTGGGAGGGTCGCTGTGTTTCAGTATGTCGGCTGCTCCGCTGAGGCAGCCTGAGCTGAATAAGTCAGAGAGCAGTGAGCGGCCGATGATCTTCTGGGTGGTATTAATGACCCTCTGAAGGGCTGCGGCTGAGCAGCTGGGGAACCATACAGAGATGCAGTATGTTAGCACACTCTTGATGGAGCAGTGGTAGAAGGACACCAGCTGCTTCTCCTGCAGGTTGTTTTTACCCAGGAACCTAAAAAACAGGGCCCCTTTCCACACAGTCCCATCAGGACAAGATTACTCTCTGGACGCCACGCTGCCAGGCTTTCAACCTCATCCCTGTAGACTGTCTCGTCTCCTCCTGAGACAACTGCGAACTCGATGATGCTGTTGGTGGGATGAGTGGGGGCACAGTCATGAGTGTAGAGGGCGTAGAGAAGGGGGCTCCAGCCGCGTGGGGCGCTGGTGCTGAGTGTAATGGTGGATGAGAGGTGGGGGCGTCGTCTAACAGTCTGGGGGCGGTTAGTGAGAAAGTTACTAATGGAACTATAAATGCAGAAGAAACCGAACATAAACAGCAACTAAATGAACTGCTTTTATAAATGAAAGGATTCACAATAAAAAGAAAAGAAAAAGAAAACTGTCAAAAACAATAAACAAAGATAATTAAACGCCAAAGAAACTGAGAAAATATAACACATATGAAAAAAAAAAAAATGGTGATGTTCTTTTTTTCTTTTACGCCAGTGTTATCAGGGTGTTATATACTGTGTATTTAACTTCCTGTGGATAATGTACTCTGTGACATGAGGTTCACGCTGAATACACCCAGTTCTGTTACAGTGAGGTCTAATAGCAGACACTTTAAAGACATCAATGGTGTCAGTCTTTCATATGAAACAGCAGTGCACATCTCCTCTGTGCATCCTTTGTCACTTTGAAAATACATTTCTTACTTTGAAAGCTTTGTGTGACAGAGTCATGATTGTATATTCCTGCCATTTCTATTGTTTGGCTTTGTGGTTGTGCTTGGGTTTTGATTTTCTGCTCCTGCTATATGTGAGTGAAGCAGTGAAACTATGGCGGTAGAATAGGAAAATAACATCACCAAGCAAAGAGGGATCCACGAGTGTCAGATAAACAGTTGAAATGTGGCTAAACATGTTTTCTGGAGAGGTGATGAGAAATGCAGTCTATTTTCAGAATCAGTTTGTTTGGCGGGAAGAAGGGACTAAATGAGACCAGCAGGACACCCAGCTGGTGGCGTGTCGGTTGTGTTTCCGCTGTGCTCCCCTCTTCAGTGGACAGACATAGTGTTTCTTGCTTTTCATCTGATTCTGTTCGTCCTTTCTGCCATGCAGTATAGATCCGATTGGCAGAATTTTCCCCTGAGTCTCAGGCATGCACGCGCACACACACACACACACACACACACACACACACACACACACACACACACACACACACACTATATTATTGGCTAATGAAATGCAGCAACATGTCTGCCACGCCCCTCTCCTATACGGCGTGTGGTGTAACCATAGTAACTGACAGTGCTGCAGGATCCTGCTAGTGGTTCATTGATAGGTATTATGTTGAAGGTCAATCAGGACAGGAATAGTCAGATTTCGAGGTGAGGAAACACTGACTGGAAGAGAGATGTGTCGTCTGTGATCCAGCCGGGGTCAAAGTTTTTTATCGGCTCTGCTCTGTCGGTCAGCCTGTGTCAGAGCAGCAGAGGAGCTTTCAAACTGGCTTTGAAGAATTCAACATGTTGCCATAGTGTCTCTGCAATCAGCACATATCTGTTGACATGGACTCGACAGATGCATGGTTTTGTTCCGTCGTTTCTGTTTCGTATTTTGAAAATGTGTTCGCCTTTACAGTCATTACATGCACCCTAGGTGGGGTCTCATGCGAGAACAATTTTGTGTTCTTGTCCTAACCTCTCTTACTTTGCTTGTATGAGCTTTCCAAATTTCAACAAACTCTCTCAACTGGACAAACATGTTGTAAACCATTTCAGCCTGATGAATGCCAGCTGTTCATGAGGAGGTGAACATTCATGAGGATTCCTCACTAGCGTAATTGACGCCTTTAAAATTTATATATACAGTAGAAGCCTTTTATACTATACTATATAAGCCTGTTCCCCTCTGCGAGAAAGTTTCAGTTACAAAAATGTAGCCAAAGACTACACACACACACACACACACACACACACACACACACACACACACACACACACACTTTAAGTCCTGCTGTCAGAAACTGGCCAACAAATTTAGCAGTGGTATTAGAGAAGTTATAAAAATGACTGATCCTTCATCTCTCTGTCTGTGGGTGGGTTTTGGGGGTTTCTGGAGCAACATCATCATCTTTGACATCAGATCCCTTAGAGACCGGAGGGATCCCAAATTCAGATGAAATTTTATAGCTGAAGCAGGAAGACCACTGTAATGAATTATGTTATCCTCTTGTAACAAATTATTCTCCAAACAAATATACAACAATAAAAATAAAAAAAAATTACATATTTAGTAGTTACAGTAATGTTTATTGCTCAATGAACGCACAACTCTTCCTCACCTTATCACTCTCAACCTCTGGCCTCTCTTTGTCTTATCTGATTGCTTATCAGGATGGGGGCTTCAGACAACATCTACAAAGGGCGCAGCACATTCATGGAAGAGCTGACCGAAGCCTCGGAGATCCTTTCCCGCTCAACTGAGCGTTCATTGGTCATCCTTGATGAACTGGGACGGGGCACGAGCACCCATGATGGGATCGCCATCGCCTATGCCACCCTGGAGCACTTCATCAGAGCTGTAAGTGTGTGTGTGTGTGTGTGTTAGTGAATGAGCACCCTGTACTGATGACATGGGAATAAGACGGATTTAAATATTTAAAAAGGGAAAGAGAAAGAGATGAGAAATGAGCAGGAAGGCACTGATGGGACATTTGGGGCATGTAACTAAGTGTAGCTGCTGAATTTCCAAATAATTTGAAAATCATGCTTGTCAAACACACACACACACACACACACACACACACACACACATTCAACTTGTTGCTAAATCCACAAGCTTCATATCATCTTGAAGCCAGCCCAATTAGCCATCAAATTAATGGCTCTCAGTGAGGAGCAGGATATTTATGTACGTGCAAGTTTGATTGTATATGCTCTGCAGATTCCCGCAATTGTTTCCTTTCGCAGGGAGAGACGAGCCACCAGAGAGGCTTCACCAGCAGAGCAGCTCGTGAAAACCGAGCTGAATTGCAGAGAAGCTTGATCTATAGTGTTAATATCCTATTAGAGAGCAGGTTGCATTGGAAAAGGAGAGGAGGAAAGAGAGAGAGTGACTCCCTAGATACCCAATTGTTGAAGGGATGTACGTTGTGCTGCAGCAGCACCTCATCTTACCCTCATGAACCACCCACATAATCAAGGCTGATGACAGGCTGTCCAGTGTCCACCTTACAGGGGATCATATGTGCCCATATGAGTCGCAGCCATTTCTTAATAATAACATGTTTCCTGTTCAGTCTTGTCAGCTGTCGTAATAATGATGTGTATTGAAAGCGGAAAGGTGCCATTTTAGCCGAAGGGAGGAGAAGAACAGCTCAGAGGCTCATGGTTCACTAAAGAGAGGAAACAGAGCTGGAGATAAACTGGGCTTTTCCACAGTACTTGGAATCAGTATTCCTGTGAGAGAGTGTGTGTGTGTGTGTGTGTTTCTGTGTGTGTGTGTGATCTGCTGGGATTATGTGAACTGGCACAGTCCAGTCAGGAGTCCTTTGGGTGTTGCACAATGTTGCGTATCTCCATTTTCACAGAACAGATGAGTGGTACCCTGAGAGACCGGGGGGGGGGTCAGTAGTGTACAGTTGTACATGAGCTGTGTGCTTGAGAGGAGATCGTGGCGTCAGTTTGGAGAAACAGCTGTTCATTTTCTCAGCTGTTCACACTCAGAATATTTCCCAGTGTATAATATAGACTGAAGTTCAGTTTCATTAATGTTTCCCACTCGCCGTGTCAAATGACATCTTTACCATTTGGACTTGGAGACGCACCTCTGCTCTTAGATACATCAGATGTGTCCAATATTGTGAATGCACATTAATTAGGTGCAGGTGACATTTACACACTGGTTGACTGTGTGGACAATCTTCTGTGTGTGGAGGCAGGATATTTACAGTTGAACAATTAACTTTACTGTCAGAGAGATGACAGTAACACTAAATACAAGATGACAGAAAATCTTTAAAAAAAAAACTTTCAAATAAATAATTATCAAAAGAGATTAATTTCAATAAATCTATTAAAGCGGCACTACTTTGTATTAACAATGACTCAAATTACAGATGTAATGTCAAAGGTTTCACCAAAAAGTTATCACCTGACTCTGCAGGTCCCCCTCAGCTCCGTGGAGCCTCTTAGTCTGTTTCGGATCCTAGTTTTGGTTTTTGGACCTGCACACTCTGCTCTTATCAACCTCATTTATAGCAGCAACATTGATAAAAAGCTGTGATGCACAGAGTATGCACTATCTGCGGGACACAGGCAAAGTTAGCGACAAGCTGGTGAACATAATGAAGCACTTACAGTAGCAGCGAAAGAGCCAGAAGTTCTCCTGGGAAGTTTTCTGAAGACCGAAACAGAGCTAGAGAAGGGGAAGTAAGCTACATTCTTCGAGTGACCAGGAAAAACATGACTCCAAACGAATCCTCGCGTTGCTCCATTTGTTAACTGTTATCAGACTGAATGACTGCAGCTTTAAATCTTGGATTGAGAAAAACAAGGGTTTCTATTTGCATTTCTGCCAAGATGCCGATATATTAGTGATAAGCTGATGTTGCCAGTATATAACAGTTAAGTTCTATATTGGATTGTGGTCTTTAAGACGCACACACACACACACACACACACACACACACACACACACACACACACACACACACACACACACACACACACACACACACACACACACATACACACACACCACAGACAGAAATTACAAGAATCTAACACAGCGACCATGAGCAGAACAGAGACCTTTTGTTATTAGCAGCGTGTGTGGTATTAGTGCCCTCCAGGATTTATCAGCTCGTATGGTCTGTGCTGACCTTACGGAGCGTGTGTCTAATCTCGCACTTGAGGAACTTCGTGTTTGTCTGGATACGCACATACCGCCAGCTGTTTAGCTGGACTGCACAAACCAGTGATTCTGAATTTGTGCCTCTTGCCGGTTGTGAAAGAATGACCCTCATGGTGCAGCTCACACTTCAGTCCACAGTGTCAGATTCCATTCATGGATTACTGGAGTTGGACCATTAAAGCATACTTATTCTACTTCTACCTCTTGGGGAATCAAAGCTGTGTCCCATCCATGAGAGCCGGTATTTTGGTATTTGTTTATTTTCTGTTTTCCAAGAGCTTAGTCAAAAATCTCCAAATTGCCCCGAGTTACCCCTGTTCAAATATAGATGAATAAACATTTATCTTTGAAAACCTCCTTCCAGTTTTAATGTTTTGCCAGTTCCACATTAATCGTTGGACAGAATCTTGGGGTTATGTAATTCTGCTGGAAAACGCAGAATGAAAATGTGTAAGTAGCAGCTAATGGGGGCTGTAGGGAGCTGCTGTTGGCAGGAGGAGGGAGCTCTCGAACTACCTGTTGTATAACAGCATTGATTTGTTAGAAAAGCCTTGCTATTAAAGGAAAGACAAATAAAAAAAAATAAAAAAAAAAAGCACAAAAGGAGTTGTGCTTTACAGCGAGAGGCCTCCTCGGTACATGCAGACCTGCAGAGTCTTTCATGCTCACTCCTCTTCCTCCTCCTCCTCCTCTGCCTCCCCCCTCCTCCCCCTCCTCCTCCTCCTTCTCCTCTCCAGACTCGACTGTTCACGTCAAAAGTCAAGACTACGCTTCCTTTGACTCGGTTGTTATAGTAACACACCTTTCCCTGTCCCCAACACTCACCTGAGAGGTAGTTAAGAATGTAGATGGGTTTCATAACACCACTCAATAAAAGAGACAACCTTGGCGCAGAAAGAAAAAAAAAAAAAAAAGCAAACAGGAAAGCAGAGGACAGAGAATCACTAAAGCTAGAAGTTGCTGTGTTTCATGGTGAAATCACGACCAGCATGAGAGCGCTTCACTACGTGTTCATCTGATTGAATTCCTTTGGAGCTGTGATGTGTGACGTACCTCATACTGTCCTCTCCTTTAGCTGTTACCCACACTCAGACTCACTTGGACTCTCACTTTTATTCACGCCAACAGCAGGTCCTGCCATTAGCTTCACCCTAAGCGTAGCACCACACATTGCTCTCCACTCGTACCGTGACTCAGACTTGCATGTTACCGCACACGCATCGTAATATTGCACTGTAATAGTGGAGAGAATCGGGCCCAGCTTCACACTGGGACTCGCAGAACTCACTTTTGGCTGCACACTAATGGGTGAATTTCCAGAAGAATGTATTGTTCCATGTGGGCGTAAATGGTCTGATGTGCTCACGCTGATGCACAAAGCTCCTATGAAGACCCACATGTGCTCCGCTGCACTCCGCGCTGCTCTGTGCCTGCGCTGCACTCATACACATGGATAAGATGCTCGTCTGTTTTTTCTCTCAGCTCTCCGTGATTGCATTCCTTTGTCGAACTTTCTAGCTGCTTCAAGTCCGATTGTACAAAGTCTATCAGAAGATTCATTGCACTCCACGCATTGTTTAGAGCTGTGGTTACCAACATGTGGGTCGGGACCCCAGAGAGGGTCTTGGGATAAAAACCGGAAGAACTGCAAGATGATGCAAGGAAAAAAAGAAAACAATATTTCCTCTGCTTTTTTCTTACGTTCACCTCTTCAGGTGTCTAAAAACCCTCCGGATGAAAAATCTTTGTCTGAACTGCTTACAACTGATGTCCACACTACCACCATAACCTTTGATGAGGGATCACAAGCTGGCACTGCTTTATGTTATAGGATTACAAGTAGTAGTAGTAATAGTTTTAAACCCAGACATATTTAATTTACAATCACATCAAACAGTAAAAGCAGCAAATCATCACATTTTGAGAAGCTTAAAATAGCAAATGTTGCTTAGCGTATTTCAGTGATGTGTTTTCAGTAAATTTGTCAGATTTAACTAAATCACGCCACGTCGTCGTCCAAAGACGAGACAAGAAGTTAAGTCTTGTTGAGAAAATGCAAGTTCTCTGATTTAGATAGTTCTCTAAAGCTCCTCTGTGCAGGACTTCTGTGTCAGTGTGTCCTGTGCTTTAATAACAAACTGTAATTGAAAGAGTGATGAGCTTCCTGTTCCCAGTAATTGAGGTGATATAAATTAGCCATATGTGCCCAGCTAAATATCAGTTGTGTCAAAACACAAAATACTCCAAACAGCACTGATCAAGACGTGCATAAAGGCAAATATCGACTGATCAACAATAGCTGACATTGCAAAAAAGTATTTTCCATCATCTCGACTTCATTCACTAATAATGGGCAAATCAGGTGGAGGAGGAGTGTGCAGGTTATTTTGTATATTTTTGGGTAACGAAACAAATCAAAATATCCATAAAATGTAAAAGGACAAATGGCATTGATTTCTAAAAAGCCAGTGTTAACACGAACCAGACTAAAATTAAAGGTAACAACGTACCATTTTCTTCCTGGACCAGGACCAAATTAATCAAACCCCAGATGTGAGGGTGCACCAAAGTAGCGGCCCATGTCAGCATCTTTAGCAGTCATGATCCTTACTGTTGCACCCTGGATGTTACAACAACAAAAAAAAGCCGCAGGCAAAACATGACCTAAAGGAAAGGTCATCACCTATGCACCTGTCACTGACCCTGGCTCAAATTCAGCTAATGAGAAAACAAGACTGACTCGCAGCCCAAGTCGGAAGTCAGTGACGCGCACGCATGCTTCTTTTACACCAAATCTCTGTCTTTCTCTCTCTCTCTCTCTCACACACACACACACACACACACACACATACACACAGCACCTCACCTTGTTATTTGTGAGGTGTTGACTTGAGTTAGAATTGCGTTTGAGTCTAATTGGACGAGAGAGAAGTGACAAGACAGAGAGTCAGTAATAGTGGTGTTGACACCTCTAGCCTTTTCCTCAGGATCAGATTAGTGAGTGGAAGCACACTTGCAAGCGCGCTCACGTCTTTGACAACATGTCATAAAACGGCTGAAGGGAGAGGTGATGCTCTGCAGCTGTGCAGTGAAACGGACACCGAGACGTGTATTATAGGAGGAGAAGAGGTGGACAAGGTGACACGATGCAGAGGAAGTGTTATCTGTGGCATGTGGCAGATCAGCAGTCTGTGGGATGCTGTTTTTTTTTTTTTTTGAACCATTGTGTCAAGTGAGCCAAACACACAGCCTGTCCCTTCTGGGTCCAAGCTTTCTGTTTATAAATATACAGCAGATTCTAGTTTACATTACGGCTGAGTATTTATAGAAGTTCATCTTACTCAAGACCCAGATCCCCGTTCTCATGACCAGAAACCTGACAAGTGTTCCCTTTATATTTTATCTATATCATAGTCATCTTAGAATTGAGAAATTTAAGATCATACACACCGTTAAACCTGGATCATGTTTAAGTAAGGGCTAGTTTTCAACAGAAATCCTCCAGACCTTCAGTAGTGTTTTTTCTAGGGCTGCAGTTAGCTTTTATTGTCCTTATCAATCAACTTAAAGCTGCGCTCATCAATATTTTTGAATTAACAAGGATCAAACGATGATGTGGCAAACCTGCAGAGAATTACCAGTCGAAGGAACATTTTAATGCCTCTCAACTCATTGCTTTGGTTTTCTGGTCCGTAACTCTGTTGTGGCTCAGCTGCCCCAAGTGGCCATAAAGAGAACTTCAGATTTAATTATTTTTTAATTAACTGAAGAATCAAAGATGATGAGAAATGCTAAGCAGCAGTTTCCAGAACCTCAATGTCTTTGAACTTCATATTCATTCAGACCAACTGTAAACATATGCATGTGCAAGATTATACCAGCTAACTGTTTGGGTTGCTTGATAAGATTATTTGATCATCAAAATTGGTTATAATTAATCGATTGCTTGACTAATTTCATCAGATCGTCCAGCTCTGCAGAACAAGGCTGTCGGTGTACCCTGGGGTGGTCTGGTAATGAGCTGCCATTAGCACCTAATCAGACCATTATCCAGGCTGCAGCCTCCCTCTGCCATGCTCCATTTGTTCTTACCTTCCAGTGTAGGTGGACAGGAATGATTGAAGTAGCTTGTCTATATATGTGTGTGTGTGTGTGCGCATGCGTGTGCGTGCGTGCACGCGTATGAATGTGTTTCAGCGGGTGCAGGTCGGTGAGTCTGTGGGAGTGACCCTGCGAGTCACTTTCAGAGGGAGGTATTACTAGTGACATGTGACCTTTCCTAGACCGAGCGGTTAGCGGGCCGATCCTGGAGCCAGCCGAGTCCTGCAGCCGCCTGTCTGCTGCGATGATGTAAGACTCGTGGCCCGCTCCACCATGAGAACCTCCTGTATGATTTGTTATCATTACAGTCATCATTGGACTTAATGGTTATTAATAATAGCATTTTGTGGATTATTAATGCAGCATTAATAATTGTTTTTCAACAGTTTGTCACGTTGTCGGAACAGGTTTTTGCACTCCCTACTCCATTTACATGATAAGGTTGTTAAAGTAAGCAGGAAAAGGAAATGCATTTGTTTTAGTGAAGAGCTCTTTGCAGCTGTCCTGAGAGTGCACTGCTGAGAGGAAAATGTTTGTACAAGCATTTCACATAGAGGCTGAGAGAGAGACTAAGTGAGTGAGTGCATGATTTTCATGTCTCAACCTTAACGCCAGAGTTAAGTCATGTATCCTTTGGGTGGCTCCCAGGCCTGACAGAGATTAAAGTATAGCAGGATGAGGTGAAGTGCTCTCACTTTGCTAAATCTGTCTCCAGAGCCTGGAAAGGCAGAAAAATGGGGGCAATTGACTGCAGAAATCCTTAAGAGAGAGAAAAAACAAAAGAAGTCGATAAACAAAAAAGTAACACAATACAGTATATGTGTGTTTATACCAGTGGTAATATTCACAAAGCATGTCTTCAAGTATTGGCTCACCACACTGCAGGGTACAGAGGCAGTTAAGTAACACTGGGCCAAAGCACAGTGGATAAGGATGCTCTGCTCTTTGTTTTTCAGCTACCACTTATGCTTAGTTGTGGTAACAGATAGTGTTACATAATGCAACATTCGCTCTGCTACCTGCCATTTGCTATATGTGTTACTGTATCTCTTTTCTGTTCTTTTTTCCTCCAACTTCTTCTCTTTTATATAAGGATTAAAAATGAATTTTAAAAAAATCGTTTGATAAATGTAGGATAAAAATAAGAGAACAAAGAAAAACATTCAGTTTCTTACCAGGCATTTTAAACATACAGTTTTTGTAATGGTAAAGATACATATTCTATATAGGGGGTTACATTTTTTATATATATTTGAAGCGCTGATAGTGAGTCTGCTGTGGGTTAGAGGTTTTAGCCATGTTAGCTGCGTTTGTTGGTCGGTTCACCACTTTGGTCCAGACTGAAATATCTCAACAACTATTTGAGGGATTGTCAACAATTTTGCACAGACTTCGCTGATCCCATGACTTTTATCTTTAGCACCACTAGCAGGTTGACATTTGTAGTTCTCAGTGAAATGTCTCGACAGCTACCGGATGGATTGCCATGAAATTTAATACAGGCTTTTCACGTCCCTCTCAGGATGAATTATGATAACTTCAGTGATGCCTTAATTTATAATCTACAGCTGTCGCCTCAGCAGTACTTTGTGTCTACTGGCAATTAGCAAATATTAGTGAGATGAATGCTAAATTTCAGCATGTTAGCATTGTCATTGTGAGCATGTTAGCCTTTAGCTCAAGGCGCCGCTGTGCCTCAGAGCTGCTGGCATGGCTGTAGATTCTTAGTCTTGTTATTATTATTATTATTTCGAGGTTATGGCTTCAGCTTGTTTATGAGAACGTTTGTGTTTCTTTATTGCGCTTTTATTGGACTGTGGTTCATTTTCATGTGTGATCATCATTCTATCAACATAACCTCTTCGCACCTTAAGAAAATATGGTCTGCATATGGATGTGTTCGTCAGATAGTGACAAATAAAACAGCCTTATCTCAACATTTTCATCAGTTTTATTTTGGGTTTGTGGTTTTCTGTCTGCATTCTGAGATCAGATCTCACTTTTCACCGGCACTATGCAAAGCTGGTGAGTAGGTGGGAAGGCGGCAGCTCTATTGTCGGTAAAACCAAACATGACAGGCGGAGGGTCAGCACAAGTGACATTACTGTATAGCCTGTACTTACTTTTCTTACTTTTACCTACCAGAGAGACGTGATTCCGCGATTGTCAAAAACAACTGAAGTGACGAGCTTCTCTGGCAGGCCGGAGCCGAGCAGCCACTGCAGTGATGACGTTCCTGCCTGCAGCTATGCTCCTTTCTACCCTTCGTCTGGATGTTTTCTTACTAACGCGAACACGGTGCACACCCCCCGACTGACCCTGTTTATGCAGTTTTGCTGAGTCTTAACATTTTGATACCAGGTGTAAGGGGCTGAAGAGCCGGCAGAGACCCTGCGTGCTAGACTTTTCTGGATGTTAACGCTCTCTCTCCTTCTCTTAGGTGAAAGCCCTAGCAATGTTTGTGACCCATTATCCTCCGCTGTGTGAGCTGGAGCGTGCGTATCCTGAACATGTGTCTAACTACCATATGGCTTTCCTTCTCAACGAACCTGACGTCGCCACTGACACCGATGGTATGTGTGTATGCATTTATGTGCACATATGAAAATGTAATTATGGCAGTTATGTCTTTGATTGTGGCCTTGCCATCAAATTAAGAACAATCTTACTTGGGCAATTTCTGAAATTATCACCTCTTGGCGCTTTGTTGAGATTTGAACGCGTGTATGTGTGTATGCTGACAGATGGAGAGGTTCAGCCAGAGTTCGTCACCTTCCTCTACCAGCTAACCGAAGGAGCTGCGGGGCGGAGCTACGGTCTGAATGTCGCTCGATTGGCTGACATCCCAGAACCTATACTACACACTGCTGCTCGCAAAGCCCAAGAGCTGGAGAACACGGTCAATGCAAGGAGGTACAGCGAACACACATACTCGCCCTAAACATTTCGCACAGGGTGCCACATTTACACATCAAGATCTGTTTACTATTCACAGGAAGCACAACTCAGCCTGTGAAAACACTTGTATAATGTATTTTGTGGCTCTGGAGGAGCTTTTTTAAAAGTCTGGGAAAGTACTGCACTCTCAGGACAGTTTGGGCTTTGACACTAAAAACATTGCAACAGAAAGCCTGCGGTACAAACAGGAAGTGTTTCAAAGATGTGGGTGTTTTCGGTCCGAGTGAAACCAGCCCTCCTTTAAAGCAGTGCAGGGGGCTGTGTTAGTGGAGGCAAGTTGCTTCAGTAATAAGTGAGACAATGAAATCCCCAAATTTGAAGGCTTATCAGACCAAAACAATGGACAGGGAATTTTTAATACTCTGGCACAGGATTTTACATCCCTGGAAAGAAATGCCAGTGTCAGCAATTACTTTATTTTCTAGAAATGCAGCATTCAAGTCGTCTTCCATGCGTTTATTTCTGCCACATCACATTGCAGCAAAAGCTGAGCCTGGTTTGAATTTGGTCTTGTCTTCTTTTTTTGCCTGAGCCTCCTGTGTTGGGACCTCTGCCGTGTTGCTGCACTTATTCAAATAAATGAGGGGACTGCGTTTGGTCTGAACACCGCATAACACAAAAACACTACCAAGTTGCATTATGGGCAGCGTAGGCTCCGGTGTTTTTGGAGCTTGACCCATATTGAGGACTAAAAGTTTGGTTAGCCTATATCTCAGCTTGTGTTGCTTTGATTTTTAACCATTCTTTTTTTAAATCTGTCACTCACAAGTCCCTCAGCTTTATAGAAGTGTGATACTAAATTGCTAGAGTACCCTTTATACCCTTCCATACATCTAAATATCCTATTCCCATATCATTAAGCATATGTGGAGCCTGAGAGCTGAAAACTAGGAGTCAAACGTGTGTCATGAAAAAATAAAACTCAAAGCAGCTCCACCGACACTAAATCGAATGTTTGTTTAAGCTTTAACACTCAAATGAACTTGATTTCATACTTGTGCTGACACGTCTGAACCAGAAAATGTACCAATATTCCTGGAAAATCAGACGGGGTACAGATTAATAGAGCAGCTCAGAGTTTGCCACCTGATGACATCAAGGAGTCTCACAGAGGAGACGGGGACACCTACAAGCAGCTTTATGGCAGGAAGTTGTCCAGTTTGAAAATCCTTGGGTGCTGCACAAAATCTGGACTGAGACCTTTCATGAAGTCTCAAATGGATGCAGCGATTGCGACCTCTGGACTGACAGTTCACTAAGCAGCAAAAAAAAAAGGCTCAAATCTTGCAGTGTGGGTTGCCATTTCTTTCGGTTTTCCATTAGGAGAATTGGGATAAGTCTTTTTAATCATTTTGCTTAAAGTCTTGATTTTAAATTAATTTCCCTAATCTGGTTATTATCTAAAAGACAATTTAAATTAACATTAAATGTGCTGGAATTGTTTAAATTACTCCAAATCGAGAATCTTTAACAGTTTTTGTTAAATTTCTGTCAGAGCATATTTTCTCCCCAGGAGCCCAAATCGTATTTTCCCCTCCATAATTTATTTTCCAAGTATTCTGAACAATGCACAGTGTGCGCTGATGGAGAAAGGAAGAGAAAATGTATGTTTTCAATGCTGATGGAGAAACAGTTTTTTTTTTTTTTCTCCACACACCGCCAGGCAGAGATGTTCCGCTTACGAGTGAGTTAGGAAGCAGAAATACGGCTAATTCCTCGTCTTTTGCTGTCAAAGCGTCAGCGTGTTGCACTTACTCCAAATACAGTCTTCTGTCTCTGTAAATTTGTACATGGCATCTCCAAGCTCTGTAACAGACAGCCTGCTGGGAGATGAGTGCTGCTTAGACTCTTCCCAAGTAATCCTCACCATATGAAATATCCGTCAGCGCACGCACACACACAGAGCCATACCTTCTCTGTCAGTGTAATCCTCCCTATATGAAATGTTTGTCCTTTGTTGGAGTGAAACCATGCTGAGTACACAATAATCGTACACAGAGGAGTTGAGCCGCTGGTCGGAGGTTAAGAACTTGGATTTTATTGTGCTCTCACACAGCTGTGTGTCAGACTACAATGTGTTTAGGCCCAACACGTACGGGGCTATGTGAGGTGAAACAGTTGTTTTATATACAGTATTTTGTTCAAACATTTCAGTGTCTCTGTCTCCGTCTCTCTAGGAAGAGTAAGAAACTTCTCTCAGAACTGTGGAGCATCTCGGACAGATCATCCCTCATGGAGTGGCAGCAGTCAAGCTCTTGACACAGCTCCAACACCATCAGACCGCACACGCGAAGAAGAGAGAACCGAGCGGAGTGAGTGATGATGCTCAAAGAAGAATATACATGCTCACGGAAGTAAGAATTGGTTTCAGGAAGGACTCAGCACTGACGGTGTACAGTGGTTGTTCCTGCTGTCTTTGCCAGTGTGCGTGTTTTGGTGCGTGAAAATAATTTTAACCATCTCAGGTTCTGGTTATATCGGCTTTGGTGGTTGAATAAAAAAAAAAAGAAAAAGACAAACTTTTGACACTTGCCACTCTTTGACCTTGATGTAAGTACTCCACTGATTTAGTATTGCACTATCATAACATTGTCCTCATATAGTTTAACCCCCCCAGATCATTGCCACAGATGTCATCCTTTTTGTTCTCCACATTGTTGGACTTTGTCCCCATGTGGCGCCTACATCACCCTAAAAGACCTGTAAACAGACTTTAATATGTAAAACCTGTGGGGTTCACATTCAAGTAAGAACTCCAATATGTCTTCTTGCCAGGCAGAAAACGCGAAGGAAACAGATTTTTAACATGTTGAGGCATTAAATTGTTGGCTTACATCTGATTTTGTCATGGTTGAATATTTATTGTATTTACTTATGTATTTATCTATCAGTGTATTCATTAGTGTGTGCTCTTTGATCCAAATCCATTAATAATGCAGAAACAAATCACAACATTTGCCACTGAGAAATGCGTTACATCTCTAGCTCTCTCACCCACTCTCAAACACACACACACACACACACACACACACACACACACACACACACACACACACACACACACACACACACACACACACACACACACACAACCATCAACGCTCCGCCTTTAATTCCGCCAACTCCAAGATCAGCGCCCATCACCGGAGAGAGAGAACTAGAGAGACCTAGTGGGAGTGAGTGAGTGTGTGTGTGTGTGCGCGCGAGGGAGAGAGAGTTAACCGCTGTTATACCGATTACAGCTTATCTGCTCTGCGAGTCTGTCACTGTCTGTCCACTTGAGGGTTCTCCCCTCTGTGAACGACGCGACACGCTCTCCCGCTTCTTAGCTGTTGTTCAGTTATAGTCGCGTGCTTTTTTTTTTTGTTCCCAGTAGAATGGATTTATTCTAGTGCTTGTGGAACTCGAAGATCTTTACTATGAGTTCCTCTGCTGAAGCGCTTCCGTCAGAGGGGCAACTTTTCCGTGCGCCACGGCGCCGCTGAGCCGCGAGTCTCTCGGTCGGAAAGTTCACACGCAACCCCCGGCGAACATGGGCTCGCGGTGAAAACTCCCGACTTGTCCCACTTTTCTTCCTCTCTTCCAAACCCGGTACGACAAAATGCAGAAGAGCGTCCGCTACAACGAAGGGCACGCGCTGTTTCTGTCGGCGGTCGCGCGTAAAGAGGGGACCAAGCGCGGCTACCTGAGCAAGAAGACGGCGGAGAACAGCCGATGGCACGAGAAGTTCTTCGCCCTCTATCAGAATATACTCTTCTACTTCGAGAACGAGCAGAGCGCGCGACCTGCCGGGATTTACCTGTTGGAAGGATGCACCTGCGAGCGTGCGCCGGCGCCCAAGATGTCCACCACGGGGAAGGAAGCGCTGGAGAAACAGGTGAGAGATTTAAAGAGAGCAGGAGGGCGTCAGCGCACTAAACCCTGCTCCCAAATCTAATCTCATCTGCCTCAACAACTTCCCAAAAAACTGCTCACAGCCCACAGACATAGTAACACATGCACAACAAAGGGAGCACAATTTCTGGAGGCTAATCTGTTGTGATTTTCAGATAACCCATAGTTTCCAATTACATACTTAAAAATGATAGTTGATAAAAACTACAAGATCAAATTGTTTCCTCCCGCTCAAACTGACACTCCTGCACTAAAACGAGCAAGTGGCTCATGCAGCATCAAACTAAAGTGGCTGCAGCATCTAAGCCTCTCTGCCCTCCACAGTTTCCAAAAGCCCTGCAGTGTCAAGAGCACCAAGTGCATCCTCACGGAGCAGGTGACCATCCCCCAAGGATCCACATGTGCAAATGAGAGAGAGCAGTTACTGCAAACTACAGCTACAGCATGTCTCTTTCCAATTCCTAATAAAAATAATGATAATGATAATGAGGTCCTTTTGCTTTTAGAGCAGTTTCCCTCTTTGATTTCATTATATTTGCTGCTGCAACCACAAGATGTACAGGATTTGTAATCTGATGAGTGTGAACCCAATAATCTGTCACATTTTCATCACGAACGCAATGAAGTTATTCTAAACAAACCTGAACACCCCATTGTGTGGATTATTCAAACAAAAAATTCTAAAATCCGTTGCAAGTCTGACAGTGGGAGGCACAATGCAGCAACAGGTTCCTGTATTTAACCCCATGAACGCTGCATAGTAAGAGAGCACATCTTCCTTCTAAGCCATATATATCACATGTCTGGTTTATATTTTCTTTACATATATGTGTATTTACATTTAATGAAATATTATTTCCCAGGATGCTATGTTTTTATGGCTGTGTCATTACATCAAATGGAAATATTTTAAATAGATCTGGTCTTAGTCTTCATTTAGTTAAGCATATTGCAGAGTGGCATTTTAGAGTTTTCAGAAATCTGTGATCTGAACTACAGTTTCAAATAAGGGAAATATTTTGGGCAAATGTGTTAGTATCTGTGCCCCTGGAAGTTGCCTCAGCATTGTTGCTTCAACATCTTGTTGCTAGGAAACATTTGAATTACCATTTGCACATGCTTTTCATTGAGAAAAAAATTTGAAATGCACATGTACTGCTCACAATTCACAGCAATCCTAGTGTTATATCAATAAAAGCATCAGTCTTTGTTATATTAAAAAAGAAAAACTTAACCTGGACTTGATGAAAGTAATTACACAGAGAGAGAGAGAGAGAGAGAGAGAGAGAGGAAAAAAATGGGATTTCTTTTTCTGATCCCAGTTTTCAGCTGGCCTTGGGAACTGTGTGCACAGGCATCATGCCCATTTAAATGGGGGTGGGGGGGGTACACTGAAGAGCACTGACTTTTCTTTTTTTTTTTTTTTACAGTTTGAGAAAGTATTAAGGAGATAGTGAGCGGATATACAATTAATCATATGAGAGTTGAAGAGAGGTCAGAAATAGCCACCAATCATCATCACGCAGAAATATTCATCTCCACGGACTCCCACCTACTTGTGCAGTGGTCTGTCTCTTTAAATGTACACTATGTGTAAAGATAACTCATTCCAGATGTATGCAAATGGAGTAGAGGCTTTAGGAGAGCCAGGAGATGGTAGACTGTGGTTTTAATCAAGTCATACATAAAGCAAGAAGAGAATGTCTTTATTCCTCATCATGTTATTCATGATGATGAAAGGAGGACAAATATCTCTATTTGAGGGCAAAATTACACGTGGCACTGATGAAAGCATAAAACCTGTCTCTTCTGATGTTACCAAGCTGGGCAATTATGATCTTATTTTATCCTCACACACACACACACTGACTGTCTCACTCTCCATCCCCACCTGTCTCACACTACAGCTGTGATGTTTAATTAGGGCTATTTTCTATCTGCGCTCAGCTGATAGAATGTGTGCTGCCATGTAAATGTGCTAGTACATTACCACGCACAAAGGAGAAATAAACCAAAGAACAATGACAATTGGTCTGGCTTGTGTGTGTGTGTGTGTGTGTGTGTGTGTGTGTGTGTGTGTGTGTGTGTGTGTGTGTGTGTGTGTGTGTGTGTTTGAAATCTCAATCAAAGAGAATTTCAAAGTTCAGTCTGATCCAGGGTTTTGAGAGAGGGTTTTGTAGGATGAAGTAAGAGAAGGCCTTCCATCTCTCTATCAGTCACTCATGCTCTTCACTGTTTCTCTGTGCAGTCGAGTGAGTCTGCCAGCAACCTGCAGCATCACACCCCCACAGTGAACCACAATGCAACCAAACAAATAACACAGCTACTGCCTCCCGCTCGCTCGCTCGCTCGCTCTCTCGCTCTCTCTCTCTCTCTCTCACTCTCTCACTCAGAGGTAGATAGACACAAACCCTTCAAATAATTTGGAGAGGATTCACACTGGTTTGAATGGTTTCCACAGCGACTGTGGTTGTGCATTGCTGATGTCAGTACGTGTGTGTGTGTGTGTGCTGTGTATAATTGTCAAATGATCCCTCCCCCCCATCGTCAGGCGTTGGGTTGGATATTGATCCCAGAAAGAGTTCTGCTGAGGCCATGAACCAGTGGAGATAGCCATTACATACAGTGGAGTCTGTCTCCATATTGCAGCTCGTATATGTCAAAACACAATGTTTCCAAACATAAATGAAACACTACACAACATCAACAACTTATTTCTGAAAATAAAGATGCAGTTTTTTCAGAAAACAAAATTACTATGTCCTTTGCAGCCTTGTTTAAAAAAAAAAAAAAAAAAAGAAAAGAAAAAAATCAGCATGGCATTTAGCTTCAATGCTGCTGTCCAAAATTTAGTGCATCCAGATTGTTGTGTATACTGCAGCAAAAAGTTTGGTTCACTGTCAAACTTTGGTTTTGTGTAGGAATGCACTTCATATGTAAAATAATCAAAACCAGCCTCACTCATTTATTGAGGTGGAACCATACAGTATGTTTCCAGAACTTAGAGATATAATGCGTGACCTTTCTGCATTAAAATGTCTAAAAATGACTAGACATGTTACATATTTGTTTAATTGTTTACTTACATAATCCCAAAGGATTCCAGCAATTCTCAAGCCTAGAGAAATACGTGATTTCAATCATGGTAACGGTCCGTTTCATTTGGTGGCCTGCCAATGTTGTCGTATCCCCCATGCGCATGCATCAGTGTTGTTGTTGCCTGCTAGAAACCCCAAACTGACTTTTTATCCAGTTTCCAGTTACATTTTTAAGATACGCTTTTTACACCTTTGTCATTTTCAACTATGTATTTTAACCAGATGAAGGATTTTAGTCACTGGATTTCTGGATTTAAGGGGATTGAATGTGTGATACACACAGCTGTAGTACAGTAAAATAGGAATTGTCAGAAACTTCAATCAGGGGAGAGATATGAGGTTAATTTGGTCCTGTCTGATCTGGCTGCACTGGCTTTAATAAAGCGTGTTTTTGTTGAGCTATAGGGTTCTTCTCAACAGCCTACTTCCTCATTAGAGTTAATGAAAGAAAAGGTGGGGTGACACTGATGAGCTGATTTGTCAGTGCTGACATCCTAATACACGTATGTATGAATGAATATGTGCATGTGTGTGTGTGTGTGTATGATTATTTCTAATTAGAAAACTCCTCTAGCTCTAAACGCCTCTCTCAGAACCTTCGTTTTTGTCGTTGCTCATTCTAATTGTCTGTATCTAGGAACCAATTCTTCCCATAGTCCTGGAGTCTGATCTGCTCTCCTCTGTATGCTGCTTTTCATTTTCCTCTGAAGGCTTCTGCCAAGTGTTACAGCCATTATGGACCTCATTAGTGTCAGATAAGAATTTAAAGCTGTCTTCAAATCTGTCTCTCGTGTTTAAAATACTGCACTAATCAAAGTATGAATGACAACAAGGTTTTATATCAACACTCCTGATAAAAAAAACGTGTTCAGGTATCTAATTTTTTAGCATGTACTCCCTCTCCTATCTCCTTTGTCTCCAATTAGACACATTTTTCCCCTATTTTTTGGGGTACTTTTAAAAATCAGTAATTTCACTCTTACGTAAGTATTTTTTTAACTCAAGTATTTTAATTTTCTACATTTAAACTTGAAATCATTACAGAGTAAAAACAAAACTCGCATCACGTGGGTCAGTGGGTGTGAGGGATGGGTTTTATCTAACTATGCAATAAAATTAAGGATGGTGTTATTAAGTGGCCATGAATCAGATTAGCATTACCTAACCTAATTAAGCACCTGGTGATCATGGCAAGTGTCCCAAATCAAACACACCTGCCATGTTGCGCGACCAACAGATGCATGCTGGGTCAAAGTGCTAAATGCCAAAATATTGACGGTGCGTCCTTTAGCTGTGACTTCTACATTTGCTTCTACCATTAGTGCGGTGTGCACCCCCTTTCTGCTGTTTCTGGTAAACCCTGTGGTGCAGAGTGCTTTCAGCTCAGTCTTTGAAAACTTTTGTCAAATAAATAGATTTTAAGAAGAATTTATTAGCCTTAAAATTAGACAAATCTTCTCAAACAATAAGGGAGCAAGTCATCAAATTTGATGATGGTTTTTTTATTGGACACCAGTTGGTCTAAAATTATGGCTTTTATCGACCTAACTCTGAGATGATTCTGCAAATTATTAACATGAAATATAAATGTTGTACCATAATTGATAAGCCTGTCAGGAAAGCTGATTTTGACATGGATAAAACTTCTCAATTACCACACTGCCTCAGGTTAGGCTGAGCAGCGGTGAGAATAATACATAAAAGAAACATCCCGGCAGGTGTAAGATTCGTATCATCACATGTCCTTCTGAATTGGTGCTGGGCTGTTTGTGGGGACGCCATGGGTGTTAAAAGCTCTCGGAGCTCCGAGCCTCTGTACTCTTCAGTGGTGTTATTGTTATTGCTGGAGCTGCTCCCATCTATTATACATGCTCCTCCTGTCACC